CCTCTCAGATCTGCACTTACTTGGGCAAGGCCCTTAACCTCGCTAAGCCTCGATCTCCTCACCCAGAAAATCTCCTTCGCCCTGTACAAGAGACAAGCCCAAGCCCAATGTTAAATCGCCTGTCAGCAAGCTGCCTCTGAGTCAGGCTTTCACGTGTGGCAAAGCAGCTACCTCGCCCTGAACTATTGAAAAGCCAGCCCTTGACACAAGCAGCCGCCTCTCACTGACAAAATGGGGCTGATGATGATAATGTCTACCTCCCGGGGCTGCCGAGCAAAGCAAATGCAGCTGCATGTGCCGAAGGGCTCTGGGACCTGCACAGAGCCAGCCCAGGAAGGTGGCATAGTTCCAGGAAGGTGGCAATAGTTCCCAGGGAAAGATAAGAGCAATAGAGAGGCCAGGGCAAGGAGAAGAGCTGGCATCATCTGCAGGAGCAGGACAGAAACCAAGAGGACAAATGCGCCCGGGACCCCAGTAGTCAGAGCAAGTGGAACCATTCTGTTCACTGTTGAATCTCAGAGCTAGCCCAGTGGGTGGGAAAGTAGAGACACAGTACATACTTTCTGAAGGCCAGGAAAATCAACCTCAGTCTTCCCCACAGTTAGCACATGTCTGATGCCCATGTATATAGGTTGGATTCAGGCACAAATGAGCAGAAATAAATCAGAGGCAGGAGTTCCCAGCCCAGTTCTCCACTGCCCGTGCAATGAGGGGTTCTTGAGGTCTGTCAGTCCCACCCACCCAAATTATATAATGCATGTTTCAAAGAGTACCTTCCTGGATAAAAGGATACCCTGATTTCTGCCCAGCAAAATGTTGAAAACTAAACCTTGTTCTGAATGATGTGCATCTACCAGCTAGGCATAGTGACACACCCCTGTAACCTCAGTATTCTGGGAGGCTGATGCAGGAGGATCACAAGTTCAAGCCCAGCCTGGGCAGTTTACTGGCTTAACAAGACCCAGTCTGCAGTGCAGCAAAAAAAAAAAAAAAGTCTGTCAGGTGCCCAGATAATACCCGTCACTTGGATCCCTCAGGCCAGGTGCCTAGTGAGTTTTTAAAAAAATTAAAAGTCATCATTCATCTCTGATGTCTGCATACAAGGACCCATCAGCCTGCAGTTTTTCTCCATCCTTTTTTTTTTTTTTTTGGGTTTTTCTCTGGTACCGGGAACTGAACTCACGACCTTGCGCTTGCCAGGCAGGCGCTTTGCTGCTGAGCTAAATCCCCAGCCCTTTTCTCCATCCTTTAGTGGGCAAGGCAGTTGACCAGCTGTCTTCGATATGCTAAGTGACGGTCACACATACTCAGAGAGACTCGCCTTCCCAGCAGCTGTCCTTTGGGGTGCATTTCACAGAGCTGTCAGTCTCTCGTATCTGTCCTATCGCATTGCACATGTTTAGACATGACAGGCGAGACGGCCTGAAACCCAGGAATACTAATTAGGCTTCATGATATCTGAACTCGGGGCTTTTTTTTAATTTTTATTTTTATTAGTACCAGTTTGCAGTGCAAACTGACTACATCTGTTGTGGAGAGTTAGCACCTGTATCTAACACATCGTGATTCTTTTTTCATTCACTTCCCCTCCCTTCCTCCCCCACGCTCCATCTCTGGTCCAATTCCCATGTGCAAAAGAACTATCAGAACTTTAATCTCTTTTTAAATGTATTTTCTCACTATAAATATATGCATTACAAATTCATTGGAAGAAATATAGGGTATGCTGATAGTCATCCTTCATCTCATCCTTTCCCCAAAGAGTTCTTGTTAACACCTGGTTTCTCTTCCCACCTTTTATATACATTTATTAAGCACTTCCTGAATACCAACCATTCATGGTGGTCTGTGCTGTACATGTCAAGCCCGTTGGTAACCTCTCCTCTTAGGGATATCCTCCACCTTTTTATAGGCACATGAACACTTCCTTGATTTTCAAGGCCAGTGAGAACACGCTGTTTTATAACCTTGCCTTTCACACTCCATACTTTTAAAATTCTTTGCATGCTATTAAATATTCATCAACACAGCCTTTGGGGTGGGGGCAGTACCCAGAATCAAACTCAGGACCTCGCCCTTGCCAGGGAGGTGCTGCGCCACTGAGCTAGATCCCCAGCCCAAACACAGTCATAACGCTTGCATGGTATTTTGCTGCAGGAAGGTTTCGTGCTCCCCACACTGAGGTGCATGTACCCCTGAGGGCAGAGCCACAGGGTAAATGTCACACTGAAGCATAAATTTGATTCGAAGCTTTGGGAGGGGGAAAACATTTTAGTATCAAAATGAGTGCAGATATACTGTAGTGCAGGATACAGAATGAATTGTAAAACAAAACAGCAAAGTCCTAAATTGTGTGAATTTGCTGTTACTCCCCCCAGGCCTATGTTTCTTCCCTCTGAGCCTGGCAGAAACACCTAAATAAATTCTAGTTGGATCACCTCTTTTTAGAGATAAGAGAACTGAGACCCAAGGAAAAGAAAGGATTGTACCCTTTGATCTCCTTTTAAGTACTTTTTCTCTATATAAATAGATGTGTTTGCATGTTTAGTAGAGGAAGTGTGGGACATGTAAATAAAATCACCCCTAATCTCACCCTTCCCCCTGACAGTTGTTAACTATATGGCTTACATAATGGCTTATATCCCATTCATTGTGTACAACCTTTATTAAGTACTTCCTGTTGCCATGCATGTAGGTGCTGCAGAGCTGGGGTGCAGAAGCCAGGTGACCCCGAGCTTGCACTCTTCCACTCATCCACACTGGGCATCATCACCTTCACTGGGTGAGCAGGGACCTTGCCTTTGAGAAATCACCCGTCTCCTTGTCCGTGGTAGGAACTCTTGCCTTGCTACGTGATCCATCTTCTAATGGCGTCTCTGAGCTGATTGCTCACGTGGTGCATGGCAACTGCACCCTCCGTGGGTAAATGCCCACCCCCCACGCTCAAATTCCACCAGCAGTCAGGTGTATCACTTCATGCATTGGATTGTAAACATGGATTTACTGGTTTGTCTTACCCATAGACAAGGAAAGAATTGTGTATTATCATTATAATCTGCACTTACTGGGTTCTTACAGTATGCCAGGGACCATACTAGGTGTTTGTCAGTAGAATTCAGAGTATTCATTACAGCTTTCCAAAGTCGTATTATCCCCCTTCAGGTAAGAAGACAGAGTACAAGCTGTCACTTGCCCATCAGCATGAGCTCCCTTAGTAAATACTCACTGTAGACTGACGTGCCAAGACTGTGTTGTTGGCAGTCATAAGCACAGCCAGTACTACCCCTCCAGCCTTCACGGGAGCCCTAGGCGAGTAGAGATGATACTCTTCAGGTCATTTTGCAAGCCATAACACGCGTAGTGTAGCCTGGAGTCCATCCACCTGTCTCAGACCGAACCTGCCTTTGCCACTTGCAAGCTAGGTGACCTTGGGCACCTCCTCTTCCTCTTCTGTAAAATGGGGATAATCACAGTACCAGCTTCACAGGGCTACTGTGAAGAGTAACCACATGAACAGCTGTTGCTCATTCTATGTGTACTGTTGCTGGTGGTAGGAAGGAGTGACACAGGGTGCTACTATATGATAGGGCAGGATCTACTTGTGAAATGGAGAGCTACGTGATGAATAAGTGTGACCTTGGCAGAGCATATGGGAGGCAGTGGAGGGGGCAGAGTGTTGCAGGGATGTTCCAGGCAGAGCACGGTGGTTGGGACCCCCCAAGGTATGGCGGGAACACAGTGCGTAGAAGCCATCCAGGGTCAGAAGCTGGGAAGGAGGAGCCCATGAGGCTAATACAGGTCTCCAGCACCAGGGCTTTTTGCACACACTGTCGATTAGGCCATGTGAGAGGCTCTGGAAAAGTTTGCTGGGTGCATGAGTAAGCACGTGCACAAACGCCTATGTTAGCCTCGTGTGTCCTGCTGTCCATTGTACCATATATACAGAGATGTGTGAACAGCGTCATCCCAGCTGTCAGGCTGTACACATCCGTTTTGTTGGTCCCTCACTTTTTGATGATGAACTAAAACCTGAATTTGGGTAGGGACCTCCCACGTCTGGGGCCCACTGGGGGAAATGCCACTGGAATCCCCGATAGCTGAAGGCTCAGATCTGAGCCAGTAGTGTGCAGACGTTAGGAGTCGAGCTCTGTTGAAATAATCTAGGAGAAATCCAGCCGGGGATGGGCACAGCAGAGCTTCCGCACTTGAGTCACAGCCAGAGGGACTCAGTGGAACTTGTGACAGGGACTTGTGACAGTCCCCGTAGCACTTGAGAAAACACATGGACTCCATAAAGCACCGTTAGAAAAACAGGGATTGAACCCAACCCCCACTTTGCAGGTGGAGAGATTGAGCTCAGAGAGGGAATGACTGCTGAGGTCACACTAGCTAAGGACAACCAGAACCGGATCCCGGACACTGGGTATCAGTTCTGCTTTACCGAGATTGTCCTCCACATCAGCCTGGTTGTCCCCACTCTCTTGCAGTGTGAGGGTCACAAGATGGGGGACACACGTGGCTGTGATGTGCTCAAGACTCTAGCATCCACCCCAGTCAGGGCACAGACCACGAGAGAAAAAAAATCAGGAGAGCAGGCGTGGGTGGGTTGTTCAGGGTCACGGCCTGGTTGTGCTGTGTCCCCCCCACCTTTTTTATTAATTGATTTTGAGGTGGTTGGTTTTTGTTTCCTTAAGAAATAGAAAAGAATGAGCTGCATACATACAACGATATTAACTCTGAAAAACCTCCTGCCATTTTAACTCTGTTACTGGAGAAATAAAAGAGAAATAATTTGTCCACCCACACTCAGCTCTTTCTGACGAAGGTAGGTGAATATTGCCTTGCTAATCGAGGGTGACTGCTGGAAGTGGAGCCACGCTGACTGATCCCGGATTGAGAGGAGGCCACAGCAACCCCAAAAGGATCCGTCCGCTGTGGGTGGGCAGAGCCCTGTGACGAGGAGGGCCCCTGGTCACCGGCCGGTGTCCTGCCTTCCACAGGTCTTCCCCAGCCGGTAGTGATGGAGGCGCTGGACGAGGCCCAAGGGCTCCCTGACATGCAGAGAGAGATGCCACCGCCCCCACCGCCCTCTCCGCCCTCGGAGCCTGCTCAGAAACCTCCACCTCAAGGCGCTGGAAGCCACTCCCTCACTGTCAGGAGCAGCCTGTGCCTGTTCGCCGCCTCACAGTTCCTGGTAAGGATGTCACAGGCCTCGTAAGGGCCTGGAGAGAGGGTGGGTTGAGGGACAGCCTTCCACTTCCTCCAAGATGGCCGCCTGGGCAGGCAGAAGGATGAGCGGCCTTCTTGCAGTCCTCAGTGACTTCACGTCCTCGAGACTGGTATAAGAGGAATGCTGAAATTCTGAGCAACAGGCTCAATAGCGCAGCCCCTCAGACCCTGACTCCCCTAACTCGAGAACTGAGAACAGAGGGCCCCAACCCTTGACTCGCTGGTCCTGCGGATTTCCTGTCTTGGAGGCCATCCTGGGAGACTTCCCTTTGCATGTGTGTACCTGGGACGCCCCCTCTGGAAGGGCTTTGTTGTGGCTGCCATTATTCAGCTTTTCTCCAGGGAGAGTCCTGGACCTCTTCTTGGTACATGGCAGCTAGGCCCTTCCCTTAGCTGCCTGATCTGTACCCAAGAGGCTCCCAGGTTGAGGCTGAAGGTGAATATACGGGGGCGGGGAGCCCCAGCTCTGAACTCAGCCCGCTCCTCCTGACTGCCCCAGCTTGCCTGCGGGGTGCTCTGGTTCAGCGGCTATGGCCACATCTGGTTGCAGAATGCCACAGACATCCTCTGCGCCTCGCTCACACTCCTGACACAGCTGGGACCCACGGTGAGTAAGCGCTGGGGAACCTCAGGGTCGGGACCACTTGGGGGCCGCCAGTCCCATCCACCCCAACCCCAGGATGGGCTTCTCTGAGCCAGGAGACTTCTGAGCCCCTGGCATTCCTCTGCCTGCTCCCCACCCCAGACATGGGGTGCAACTTCTATTTTTTTGTTGTTCTATTACATATGTTTATCTTCATCGAAGTTGGTCAGATTACCAGATGTAAGAATGCAGGATTGATCAAACCATTAAAGAGAATAAAAACAAAAATTGTAAATGATACAGAGTTTCACCAAACAAGATGATAGCAATTCAACCGGTGCATGTTGTTATCTTCATATTAGTTGTTTAGATTACCAGACAGAAGCATGCAAACAGAAGGATAGCTGGGATGACTGTACTGCTGATGTCTAATGGTTTATTGAAAGGAACAGGGATGCAGCTTTTAGAGCCTCTGTTTTGTCGCCCTTGAAGTAGAAGACAGCTCTGTCCCACTACCACCCTGACCTGTTGTCTTACGTTCCCCAGGCCTGGCTGGGCACCGGGACTTGGGGCATCCCCAGTCTGCTGCTGGCCTCCCTATCTGTGGGCCTGGTCCTCGTTACCACCTTGGTAAGCCTCCTCCTGACCCAGCCTCAGTGCTTTCCTCCTCTGCCCCCAAGGTTCTGCCTCCTGCTGCTGCTGTCTGCAAGCTAGACAGCCTGGGCTCTGGGTAGGACAGGGACAAATATCTGTCTCCTTGCACCAATGTGCCCGGCCTGGGGTGCAGCACTCCTGCTTTCTAGAAATTGCTTTGCAGTGATCAGGGCTGAGGAAAGGGGCTGAGGCAGAGAGACCCCCAGGCCTCACCACGGAAGCCTGAATCCACAAGAGGCTGGGGGCTAGGGGAGTGTCGCTAGCACTAGGAGAGTGGGGGCTGAGCTCCCACCCAGGCGAGCGGCAGTGGCTTGTAACTTAGGGGACTTGGAGGAACAGAGGGCTCGATGTTACAGTACCCATGGTCCCCAAATCCCTGTGCTCCCAACCAGGTGTGGCATATCCTAAAGGGCTCCCCGGAGGCACCCACCCCACTGCCCGCAGAGGACAGGCGCCAATCTGTGAGCCGCCAGCCCTCCTTTACCTACTCGGAGTGGATGGAGGACAAGGTGGAGGATGACTTCCTGGACCTGGACCCTGTGCCCGAGACGCCTGTGTTTGACTGCGTGATGGACATCAAGCCTGAGGCTGACCCCACCTCGCTGACCGTCAAGGCCATGGGTCTGCAGGAGAGGTGGGAGGCGTGGAGGAGGGGTGGGCTCCCCGGGCCCTCAGGCTGTCTGGGACTCTGGGTGCCCAGGACAGAACTAGCCTCGTGGCTTAGCCAGTGTAGACGCATGCTTGTGGGGCGAATGACGTAGATTAAGGTGGCCCAGGGTGAACACTAGCAGGTCTGCTGCTGCACCGCACTCACAGGCCCATGAGGAATGCTCTCTTGGGCTCAAGGAAGTGTGGGTGGGTGCCCTCACTGCAGGACTTCTCAGGGCCGTAAGCATGCCTGTGTTTGTTGTAAATCAGCAGAGGGATAGAATGTGGCACTTCTCAAAGTTACTTAGCCACAACGCCCTACTTTGGTAGTGTGTGCTGTGTTCCACAGAGCATCCTTGCGGGTACACAGAGCCTGACTGGGCAACACAGATCACATAAGATTGAGTTAGCCACAGGGTGCTATAGAAGGAGCACTGGATGAGGAGTCAGGAAACCTAGCTTTTGTTCCAGCTCTGTCCCCGTCTTCTTTTTTTTTTTTTTTTTTTTTTTTGATTTTTCTCCGGTACTGGGAACCGAACTCATGACCTTGCGCTTGCCAGGCAGGCGCTTTGCCGCTGAGCTAAATCCCCAGCCCCTCTGTCCCCGTCTTCTGAGAGCCTGGGCAATTGTTGTCCTTTCCTGGGGGCTTGAGTTTTCCTGCCTGAGTAACGAGGGCCCTTCCTAGTCTGTGATTTTAGACACTGCGCGTATAGTTTGTCCATTACAGACATCCTCACTGCTGCCACTTTGCCCTGGGGACCTGTCTTTCCCTGGCAGTGGGGTGGCTCCCCCTGCTGGATGAGATTTTCTTCACCATTGGCAGCCTCACCCCAGGACTGCCCAACCAGAACTCAGTGTGGAGGTCTGAAGCCCTGCTTCTCCGCCCACCCTGAGCAGGCGTCTCCTCCATGGGATGCCCGGGGCCCTGGGGAGTGACCCCGGAGAGACCGGAGGGCCCTGTTGGGCTTGCTTTGACCTGGAGCCCTAAATCCCCACTGTGGGAGACCTTTGCCCTGGAGCTGAGACTCTGCTCCTTATGACAGGGTCCTGTCACCGCCCCCCTTCCTGAGTGTACCCTCTTGCTCCCTCTGCCCCTGTCCACACCCGAAGTCTCAGGTGAAGCCTTCCCTGCCAGCGTCTCACTTCCTCTTTGCTGGGCCTTCCAGGCGGGGCTCCAACGTCTCCCTGACCCTGGACATGTGCACCCCGGGCTGCAACGAGGAGGGCTTCGGCTACCTCGTGTCGCCCCGTGAGGAGCTGGCCCACGAGTACCTGCTCAGCGCCTCCCGAGTCCTGCGAGCCGAGGAGCTGCACGAGAAGGCCCTGGACCCTTTCCTGCTGCAGGCCGAGTTCTTTGTGAGTCCCTCTGAGCCAGCCACCCCACACTGGGCAGACCTTTCTGCACGTCGCTCAGCCACGCGGCCAGGCGGTGGGGTTCGGTGCCCAGACTTAGCGCCTGGAGCAGACTGATGTCACCTCGTTATCAGCTCTCCTGCCATCTTGGGCATGCGGCTTCCCCTCTCAGCCTCACTTTCCTCATCTGGAAAATGGGATGGAACAGCAGGGCTGTTGTGAGGGTGAGAGAGATTGATGACGTGTGATCGGCCTGCAGCAGTGTGGCCAGGGCCAGGGCCAGGGTGTGCCCTCGGTGTCGCAGGAGGCTTCTCTCGGCGCTTTCTCTCCACCCTCTGCCCAGCATCACAGGCACCGCTTTGTCCTCTTGCCATCTCTCCAGCCCCTCCCTCCTGCGCCCCTGGATCTAGCTTAGCTCCTGGTCTCCTCCCACAGCCTTTGCAGCGGCCTCTGAAGGCCAACATGTGACAGCAGGGGGGCACAGGAGACCAGTGTCCCCTTTATTGTCCCAAAAGCATAGGTTTGTGCTGAGGCCCACCAGTATATGGCAAGAGCGAGCTTTCTGATGCCCAGAATCAGACAAACTTTCTGACAGCTCAGGGCCTTGCCCCACCAGGCACCCCCATACTTCTTCCTAGGCAGGAGGCTTCAGGAGGAGGCAGAGGAGGAAGGAAGGGGCTGCAGCTTGAAAACGCACTTCCTCGGTGGACTCACCAGCCGGGAGCTCACCCACTATGCCCCTGAGACTCACCGCTCCAGGTTCTCGGAACTTGGCACCATCTGCAGAAGAAATCTGCCCGCCCTTCCTCCTTTGCAGCCTCATGCTGTAGCCCCAGCCTGCGGGGTCTGTCCACTTCCTGACGGCGCCCCCATGCCCTCCTCACCCATTCCCCCCCTGAGGCCTCTGGAAAACGGTCTTCCGCCCCCGACCCCCCGGGCCTCAGCTACCACTGCAGGTTCCCACCGTCACCTCCTGAGAAAAAGGAGCTGGCGTCCTGCATGCCCCTTTCTGCCCGGGACACTACTGTGGATTCTGCCAGAGAGGAAGGGGCCGGCCTGAGCCCTGCCACAGGCAGTTTTGTACGAGTGCTTTCTTCCTTTTGCGTTTCACAACCCTGGAAGGTATCATCCGCTGTATCTACAAGGTCCCTCTCCTATTGCAAACACAGAGGATAATATGAGACTGTGCGGGCAGTGCTGAGCCCTGGGGACAGGGTGAGAGGGAGTGCAGAGGCAGGAGGCACTGCAGTGGCGGTGATGACCAGGTCATGTTTTGTCTGGTTCTTCGAACACCATCCATACAGTGAGCGCCTACCACACGCCCTCCACAAGCGGTAGTCAGCATGTACTACGCGCTCAGCCCGTGCCCGGCACTATTCTAAATGCTTCGCGGGTGCCGCCTCATTTAATAGTAAATGCCAGTCACCCGGATGCGTGCTCTCGAGCCGGCCCCGGGATGAGAAGTTGGTGGGGTGAGAAGTTGGGGCAAGTAGCCCCCGGATTTGAGCATCTTCGAAGGCCAGCCCCTCCGTGCTCACAGCCCCGCCCCTCCGTGCTCACAGCCCCGTCCTCGTTCTGCAGGAAATCCCCATGAACTTCGTGGATCCAAAAGAGTACGACATCCCCGGGCTGGTGCGGAAGAACCGGTACAAAACCATCCTTCCCAGTGAGTGCGCGCTCCCCGGGGCAGGGGCAGGGGGCGGGGCAGGGCGAGGCGTGACCTTCAGCCCAGAGCGGGCCTCCAGGGGTGATGGGACGAGGGGGAAGTGGGCTGGGTGCCTGGGGAGGGGGAGGCCACCCGCGTTTGAGGGCACAGGGTGGTCCATTTTGTCACACAGCCTTACCTCGGCCTCACCTTCCTGGCCAGGTGCTGCGCTGGGCTCTGTAGACACCCAGAGAGAAGGGGTGGCTCCTGAACCTTTCTCTCTGCAGAGTGGGTTGTTTTTAAGGACAGAAAGCGAAGGCTCAGAGAGGTTAAGTGTCTCACCTGCAGTAACACAGCTAGGAAGGAGAGAGCTGAGTTTCCAGCCTGGGCCCCTGTGACCCCCGAATCAGGCACTTTTGTCTGCCTGTGTTCGCTGTGAGCAGACTGTCAGGCCTCTGGCAGGCTGAGCCACCCCACAGACCAAGGAGCTACCTCTGTCCTGTGATGAGCTCCCTGTCACTCAGTGTGTTCAAGCCAGGCTGTATGCCTGTCCCTGCGAGGCCTGAGAGGGGCTTGTCTCCATTGGGGGCATTTAGACCAGGTGACCTAAAGTTCCCATTTCATCCCTGTGGTGTCATTGTCAGGTACCGTTCATCCAGTCCCCAGCTGCCTGCTACCCCTGGCGTGTCTGGCCCCATACCTCGGGGCTAGCTTGTGGGTGGGAGGTGTCACTTGTTGGAAGTGAATCCTCAAAAACCTACTCCACTCGGTCTGTTGAGTAGCGTGGCTTTAAAAAAGCAGTGTTGCCACCAGCATCTCCAACAACATGTAAGATGTCATGACTTATTTTTAACTTTTAAAATATCGACTTGTGGTTGCTATGGTTACACAGTCTCTAGGTAGTTCCGGTTAAACAAAGCACCATTTAAGGGCAGGATGCATTATTCAGTGCGGTTCACCTGTCCCCACCCCTGGCCCTCTCCTTCCCAGCTCTACCTGGAGGGAGGGGTCCCGGTACCCCAGGACCTAGCTTGGGCTTTGCTGGCTTCTCCCCGCGGCCAGTGGAGTCAGGCGGTGCGCCACGGGGGCCCCGCTGCAGTGCTGACTGCTGAGTGTCCGGGTCCCCAAGCCCAGCAGAGGATCTTGTCTGTGCCACGTGGCCATGTGGCCAGCCTGTGGCCTCAGAGACCGGCCTCCGGGCCAGAGGGCAGGCCAGGCTTGGCACAGCCAGGATGGGCTGAGGTTCGTGCTCTCTGCTGCTCCCAGGCCGGTGAGCGATCGTTCTGTAGACGGTCGGTGTCAGAGCGCTCAGTCACCCAGTGGGCAGCACGGAGAACGAGACCCTGCAGAACAACTCCTGCTCCTTCTCCCGTGTCCCACGCCCCGGGGGCAGCGCCTGGCGTGTGGCGGCATTCTGCACCTATGTGAACCAACACATGAGTGAGTGAATACTGTGTCTGACGGATGGCGCCCCCTGTCCATCCTCAGTGCTGAATGACCTTTTTGGGGTTCAGGCCTCCATGTTCCCCAGTCCCAGGGACTGCCACATTACACTGACATACACGCCCCCCAGAGTCATGCCAGGCAGGGCGACCTTGACGTTTCTTAACTTGAGTCACCCTAGTAGTCACCTGACCTCCACAGTCCCCTCTCCGTGCAGTCCACTCCCGGCACCAGGGATGCAAAGCAGAAAGCTGGTCATGCCGTCTTCCTAGAGATTGTCATTGTCAGCCTTTCTAAGCATGGTTTATAGACTCTGACCGCTCCTGAGGCCTCCCCAGCTTCCTCCTCACTGTTCTGACTTTGCCCCTGTGCCTCTGAACCAGACAGAACGGGTTCCCTTCCCACCCTCCTGCGGGTCCTTAAACCCCAGGGCCGCCTCTTCCAGGAAGCCCCCTGCCCTCGCCAAGTCCCCGGCCTGGGTGTTGCCCCACCAGATGGGTCCTCCTTGATACCCATTAACGATGGTAAAACTTTAATGACAACAAGGGCAGCTACCTACCTCCTGTGTTTACCATACGCTGGCCACATCACTTCATGGTCTAAGGGCTCTCCGTATTCATGGTAATGCCTTTAACCTTTGTAAGATAAGTGAGCTTCAGCTGAGCATGGTGGCACACGCCTGTAATCCCAGCACTTGGGAGGCTGAGGCAGGAGGATCACCTTGAGTCTGAGGCCAGCCTAGGCTTCACAGTGGGTTCAAGGGCATCCTGGACTACATAGCAAGACCCTGTTTCAAAAAACACAAACAGAAAGGGAAGCGAGGTCATTGTGGAAGGAGTCTCCCCCGTTTATAGAGAAGGTACAAGAGGATGAATGGCTCGCACTGACATTACAAGTAAATCCTGGAGTCACTTAGCTCCCCTGGGTCATTCAAAGCCAGGTGCTCGGGCTTGGATTGCAGACTTTCGCTGACGCCCCCACTGCCTTTGAGAGCCCCATGCTATGCACACTGCAGCACCTGTAGTCCAGCCCTCCTGATCACAGTGGAGAAACTGAGGCCCAGAGAAGGCATAGAACAGTGAGCTGACAGCAGAGCAAGACCTGCCCACCCCACAGGGGTCCCTGTTCACAGCCGCAGCCTCTCGGGCTGGCAGTCGGTACAGGCAGGCTTCCGCTGGAACAGAACGCATTCTCCAGGAAGAACACGGTGTGACGGAGTCTGTCGCTGGGGGAGCTGGCGGGTAGAAAGCTTGGGGGCAGCCTGGAGCACGTGAGGCCACGTGAGCACATTTCAGACGTGGACAACTTCACCCCTTCACCCCAGTGTGTCCTTTCAACTGTCCACTCCCCCAAACCCACAGCTCTTTGTATGCATAAAGCGCTCTGCAGCTTATGCAGCGCCTGCATGTCTGCCTTCTCGGGTATCTTCCCACCAGCCATAGCAGAGAACAGATCAGAAAACTAAGACCTAGAAAGGCCCGGGGCTTCCGAGGTTACACAGAGGCAGTGACGGTTCATCCCAGACTCCGGCCGCTGCGTCTGTCTGGGACCGTCCCTAGGTCACTCCTGTCTGGCTGGCTCTCTCCACTCCAGAGCACAGGACGCAGTGAGCACAGGGGAACCTGGCACAGGCAGGGGGCAGGCACTGGTGCTGCAGAGGTGAGACCCGGGGGCGCCCTCTCCTCTTCTCCCCTCCCGTCCATCCGAGTCCTCACCCGCCTGCAGGGACCAGGGCCAGACCAGTGCTTCTCGGCAAGGCAAAGAAGAGGCACTGAGGTCTCAGAAGAAACGCAGGTGCTCTGGAGTGGTGGTAGAAGTGGGGACTGCATGAGAGGGCCCCGCTCCCAGCCTCACCTGTCTTCCCCAACCCCAGATCCCCACAGCAGAGTGTGTCTGACGTCGCCAGACCCCGAGGACCCGCTGAGTAGCTACATCAACGCCAACTACATCCGGGTACGTAGCCCCACCCCCACCGCTCAGGGAAGGGAAGCGGGGGCGGCGGGATCCAGCCTCCAGGCCTGTCCCTAAGCTGCTTTGGCTTCTATCGGCCCGGAAAGAAGCTGGTGTAGGGACTTGGCCCTGGCAGCACTGCCTCCCACCTTGACCGTGTGGACTTGGCTGTCTCAGGGCTACGGTGGGGAGGAGAAGGTGTACATCGCCACGCAGGGCCCCATCGTCAGCACGGTGGCCGACTTCTGGCGCATGGTGTGGCAGGAGCACACGCCCATCATCGTCATGATCACCAACATCGAGGAGATGAACGAGGTAGGACGCCCGCATCCTTGCCAAGCGCTGCCGCCTCTGCCCCACGCTGTGCACCTTTGTGGGCCTGGTAGCGTTCACTCTCCTGTCGAGATGTGAGGCTCAGTGAGGTGACGTCATCTATTCCCCCCAGGCCACGGACTACACTGGCTCTGTCTATACCCATGATGGCCCGTGTCGTTGAGTCCCCATAAAAGTCTTTCAGATGACTATTGTGTCCATTTTCCAGATTGAGAAACTGAGGCCCAGAAAAGAAAAGTAGTTTACAAGTCATGAAGCTGAGATTCGAACCCCACACTGACAGCCAACTTGTTGCCCCTGTATATGCTGCCACCCTGGGCTCCTGGGCAGCGTCAAGGAGAGTGTGGGAGGGGACAGGGTGTGTCCAGCCTGCTCTGGGCTCCTACAGAAGTGCACCGAGTACTGGCCGGAGGAGCAGGTGGTGTATGATGGCGTGGAGATCACCGTGCAGAAGGTCATTCACACTGAGGATTACCGGCTGCGGCTCATCACCCTCAGGGTGAGGCCTGGGGCTGGGCTGGGCTGGGCCGGGTGGATGGCTCTAGGGTCTCATCTGGGGGCTCCACAAAGCCTGGAAGTCCACTGAAGCAGATATAGAGGCCTGTGTCACTGCAGGAGTCACGGCTGAGCAGGTGAAGGAGGGGTGGATGGACGCGGGCGGGAGGCCAAGGTGCTGGCTGCACTTCCCAAACCGCTAACTCTTTGAATGCTGTTGGGCTGTGTATACGCTGCAGTTTACAGTGCCTTGTAGCTCAGCATCAAGTGCTCCCAAGGCCAGGAGTTCCTGGGTAAGGGACTTCACAGCCTCCAGCGTTGTCCTTATTGCTGAGGATCCGTTAGGACTTTGAGGTCCAGGCTAGAAGCATCCCTGCAGAGGGGATGCTGGGCTCCCAGCCTGTAGTGCCCCACGTGTCCACCAGAGGGCAGGCACTCCTTGCTGCTTTGGGGTTGCGCAGGAAGGCTGTGGTTACAGAAAATGGCAAGAGAGAGGAAGGCACACAGTATGAGCAATTCAGAACAGCCCAGAAGAGCGGGGGGAGGTATCCTCCCACCCTGAAGTTGTGCTTCTTCCAGGATAGCATAACATAACAGACTGCTCCTTTGGTATTGGAGGGATTAGCAGGTTCTGTTTCTAAGAAATGGTAAGATCTGAGTTTGAGGAAGGTGCTCATTGTCATGAGTCTGAGCCAGGTACCAGGACCTGATGCCTTACCTAGAAACGGGCTGCAAAGTCCACTGAGGCAAACGGCCATAGGATTCAGCCTTAATAAATGAGTGCAAGGCCTGCAACACAAATCTCCGAGCTGCCCCCTCTTCCACTGGATAGGATGCAGGGCCCACACCCACACCCCCCGGAGCAGCTCCAAGAGACAGCCGTTCTGGAGGGCCTGAAGGGCCAGGAAGGCTGTGGTGTCTGTCACAGCCAGGTAACCCAGGAACCAAAGGAACCTGCTTCCCAAGAGGAAACTCCCGCAATGGGGCTGTGGGGCAGGGGATGGTCATCTGCAGTGCTGTAGGGCTGGTAAGAGAACCGAGGCACCTTGGGTTTGGAGGGTGTTTGCTTTGGTCCATAAACTGTTACCACTGCCTGCCCTGGGTGTGGTTCTGAATTGGGTACCAGGAACACAGCCATCCAGAGTCTGGATTCTCTCATCAAGAAGTGCCCACGAGGTGGTAAGGGCCAAGCTGAAGATAGGTGAGGATACAGGAGCGACCCTGCCAGCCGCCGTGCTCGGGGAGGATGGGGTCTGAAAGGAAGAGTGAGAGTTGACCAGGAGCAGAAAAAAAATAACAGTTAAAGGCGTGCAAGAGGCACCAGCTCTGTGACGTGTGTGCACGCACATGCATGTGTGTGTGTTACATGCACATGCTGCGCTGCACAGATTCTATTACAGACCTCTTAGAGCACAGGGGCTCCAGTAGAGGACACAGGGGCAGATGTGCCTGGAAGAGAAGAGGTTGCCAGCCCTCTTATTTGCCAGGCGTGGGACTAAGGAGAGTGGTTTTATTCGGAGCGCAGAGAGAGCCTTCAAAGCGAGTCTTGGTGGGTTCCGGGCTCTGTAACACGTACGAGAGGCGGGTGGCCAAAGACAGCAGGCTTACTTCTCCCGGTTGTGGAGGCTGGGAAGTCCAGGTACGGCCCCACCCTCAAACACCGCATGTTGGAAATTAGGTTTGAACATGCGGATTTGGGGGTGGGGGGACACACACACTCGTGAAGGTGTTGGAGCAGGGTGCACACGTGCTGTGCACAGACCCTCCCGATCTCGACACAATAGAGCGAGGCCACAGCAAGGGCGGTGGTGGAGAGGAGGTGACAGGGGGGACGGTCAAATGGGGCAGGGAAAGCACAGCCAGGGGAAAGGAAGTCCCCGGGCTCCAGGTCTGGTGACTAAGGGACACCTGGGACATTTGTCAAGATACAGAACCTGGAAAACACTGAATTGCAAAAGGGACCTCTGGCCTCTGGGGTGATCCTGGTGTCACTGATACCGCACCAAAGAGCAGGCCAGTGGAGACTGCTGGGCTGCCCTTGAGCCTCTGCCTGGTACCTGGGGCAGCAGGGTGGAGACAGAAGGGCTGAAGGCTTCTGCTTCCCATGCTCCCGCGCCCTCCTGCCGTCTCTGTCTCTGGGGATGGTGGGCTCAAAGCGCTCACGGGTATCTGGGCGGGCCTCTGTCTCCCGGGCAGAGCGGGACTGAAGAACGCGGCCTGAAGCACTACTGGTTCACGTCCTGGCCCGACCAGAAGACCCCAGACCGGGCACCCCCGCTGCTCCACCTGGTGCGGGAGGTGGAGGAGGCGGCCCAGCAGGAGGGGCCCCGCTGTGCCCCCATCGTCGTGCACTGCAGGTGGGTTCTCCGCGCCCACCAGGGCAGGGCCACCTGCCCCTCCCGCTCGCCGGCCGCTGCTGCCCCCGCCCCTCACCCGCCCTCCCCCGCGGTCCTCAGTGCAGGGATCGGGAGGACCGGCTGCTTCATTGCCACCAGCATCTGCTGCCAGCAGCTGCGGCATGAGGGAGTGGTGGACATCCTGAAGACCACGTGCCAGCTGCGACAGGACAGGTGAGCCCACGGTGGGGCGGCAGCAGGGAGGGTCTGAGGGGGTGCGCGGGGGAGGGGGCAGACGGCACAGGCACAGGCGCGGACGACAGGCGGAGGACCTGACGGCTGGCAAAGGGAAGGGCAGGACGCAGTCCGTTCCTCTTCTGGAGAGAGGGAGACAGAGCTAGTGGGCGGGCGGGCTGGGAGCCGTAGGACGCCCAGTCTGTGTCCCTGGCAAGAAGGAGCAAGGGACAGTGGCTGGCAAGGGTTTCTCGACGCTGCGCAAGGACAAGGCCCCCAGCTTCGCTCCTAAGCGACGCGTTCCTCTCGGGTCTGGGTCCCCTCCTGCAACCCGTCCCCACTGTGCGTCTCTGCCGGGCAGGGGTGGCATGATCCAGACATGTGAGCAGTACCAGTTTGTGCACCACGTCATGAGCCTCTATGAGAAGCAGCTGTCCCGCCAGTCCCCAGAGTGACCACACTCCTCCTCCCAGCCCCTCCGGGCCCCGCCCAGCAGCCCCGGGCCTTGCCTGGGGTCCCGCCCCTTGCCTTCTCCCGCCCCCACCTTCTCCCCGCCCCTTCGGCGCGCTCGCTCCCGGGTGAGCAGCCCGGCCTGGCCCCTGCCCCGGCGGAGCCCTTCCTACTGTACATACGGGGAGTCGGGGAGGGCGGGGAGGAACGTGCCAGGCCAGGCCTGGGGCCCCGGGGCCTTGACCCGCCGTGCAGCCCCGGGGACCTCAGTTTTAACGACGGTTCCATTGCTACTGATCCAAAACATTTCCATGCCGCACTCGAGTGTCCTGCCACAGCGTGTCTGTCTGTCCGTCCATCTCTGCTGTCTGTACCGGACACTGTGTCTCCTCGGCCCGGGAAAGGGGTCTGAGCACCAGCCCCTTGGCAGCCCAGGCAGAGGTGCCTGCCTCGGGTCCCCCACCCCAGCAACCCCAAAAAGCAGGCTTCGTTTTAATGGGACACAGGATGCAGAGGGTGGGACTGCAGAGGAGGCCAGGCACAGGGAGCGCCCAGCTAGAGCCGCCCCTGGGTCGGGGTGGGCATCACAGCCCAGGTGGCCTCGGGGTGTCAGGTGCCTTCGGGTGGCAGTGGCTAGCCTGTGGGCACGGGAGAGGAAGGGGACAGGTGGGGGTGGAAGCGGGGAGCTGGGCCGGGGCGGGGCCTCAGCCCTCCGTCTGAGTGACGCATCTTCCTGCGTCACGGTGGAAAACGGTCCCAGGAGTCTGGCTGCGTGTCGCTCTGCGTGTGCTCCCGTGTCCATGCGTGTGTTGAGAGCCCGTCAGCAGGGCATGCATGACTCTTTGGCAACATGTGTTATCTTGGAGCCCCGTGTTTTTATTGCTGACTTTAAATATTTATTCCACGACAGAGACATTTGGTGTCTTTTTATAATTCGCCCGTGGTCATTGAATAGAGCAATAAACAGAGCATTTTGAGCAAAACTAGCCTTCTGGGTCTGTGTGATTTACCTCTCCACCCCGCTTTCTGGCGCCGGTACCTCGAGGCTTTGGGCGCTTTCGCACACGAACACCCTGAGCCTCCAGCTTGTGCTCACTGGCTCCCCTTGTGGACATTATAGGCACGGCGCAAGTCCAAATTTGAAAAGCCGAACTAATTCCCTTCTGCAGAATTTTCACGCACCGTCAACCCCAGCCTTCCCAGGTGCCCTGGGCTAGAGAGAGCCTCAAAGACAGCTATGGGAAGTTTCCCGTGTGGTCAGAAGGCCAGCAGCGGCAACAAGTGGGCCAGAGAGGCCAAGGCTGGGGCAAGGGGACATTCAGGTCACACCCAGGCACCTCCCTGTTGAACAGCCCACTGAGCCCATGTTCGCCCCGCAGGTCCCAACAGCAGCTGTAGCCCGGCCATTTCCCCCGAGAGGCCAGGGCTGAGAGTCGCCCCTCCCGAGGGCCCAGGGAATTGGATGCTAAGCCATCCCGGACACTCCTGCTCTATTCTTATCCCCTGCCTCCTGGGGTGGAGCAAAAGTAGCTGTGACACAACTGATAGCAGGTGGGGGTCACTCCGGGGCAAGAGGGGGTGTGGAGCAGCGCTGCTGGCCAGCCAGCAGGTGCTTACAAGATACCAGAACCTCGGGTGGGTTGGTCAAGGGCCCGGACATGCAGGGCATGCTGCGGACGATAAGAACAGGGCTGGCTGATGCATTAAGGTGGGGGCCCTGGAGAAAGAGGCTTGCCCTCCAGCCATCCTCAGAGCGAGCTCTCCTTGTGCAGAATGGGCCCTTCCATCCCAGTTACAGAGATGGGGCTGCGGAGTGGGAAGGGAGTGATGTGCTCACATCCCCTCTCCTTCCCCAGGGTGGTCTGTTAGGCTGCTTAGGCTGTGCATGCAGGCACCACCCACATGCAGGGCAGTGTGAATGGTGGCCCTGGATCTGTGCCAAGTAGCAGATTCCCCCCCCCCCATGTGCCCTCCTTCCCAATCCCGGGGAAACAGACCTGTGGCTTTAGCTCCCAGCCTCTGCTGTACAGCACATGTGCCCAGGTGTGTGCATCTGTCCACACACACTAACCTGAGCCCCTCGGCTCGCAGTCCCACCCAGCAGCGCTGAGAAGCAAACGTTCTACCACCGGGCACAGCACAAATACCCTTGGGCCCCGGGGTTTCCTCGAGCCCTGAATCCAGTAGCGCCCCCACCACAACCAACTCCCAAAGCAGGAGCCATTGAGCTGAAGGAAGAGCTTGAGTAAAGGATCGCTCTCAGGGGGACGGGCATTGAAGGAACCAATGCCTCTCTCTTGGGGCAAAGGAGCAGACTGCACACCCTGCAGTCCAGGCGCGAGCTGAGCCTCCAAGCTGTGCACACAGCATTGAAGTGTTGGAGGGTGCGGATCCCTGCAAAAGGTAAGGGCTCCCTCTTCCTTCGGGGCCCAGCCTGGTACCTTCTGAGCCCAGTGGGCGTCGTGAGGGAGACAGCAAGAGTGGGCGGGAGCACAAGCTGAGGAAGTGGCCTCAGGTTCAAGGTGGGAACAGCCCAGCCAGAGACGCACGGGCTAGAAGTGCGGGGGAGCCTCAGACCACAGGCGCTCAGGGAAGGCTTTTGGCAGGGCCTGGCCTGGCATCAAGGAGGTTGGATTCTGTTCCCAGTGACCCTGGTCAGGTCATTTCTCTCAGCATCAGTTTCCTCATGGACCAGAAAGGGTTTTGAAAACTGCCAATCTGGTGCAGTGAATCCCTTGTGGTCAAGGTGCATCCCTTCATGGAAATACTGTGGAGCTCTTAACAAAGTGAGGAAACGCCGTGACCTGGCATGTAAAGGTATGTATCCCAAAAATATAGCAAGTGGAGAAAAAAGGTCAGAACAGTGTGTGTAGTAGACTTCCTGATGCACAAAAAGAAAGGAGAGGGCCAGGGATGTAGCTCAGTAGCACAGCGCCTGCCTGGCAAGCACGAGGTCGTGAGTTCGATTCCCAGTACCAAAAAAAAATAAAATGTGATTGAATTACCAGTTCAGACCAAAGTATAAGAAGTGAGAACTAAACCTCTGCCTGTACTGTGTTGCAAACAAAAGCAGAGCTGTGGAAACACACTGTCATCAGCTTAGCATTCACCAATGCCAGGGGTCCCCCAGGCCCAGGAAGAGGATCCACATCTTTCTTCTAAAGCCCACTCAAAATGGCTGTGCCAGGAAGTCCCTTCTTAGGTCTCACTTCATTCCCTCCCAGTGAAACATTCACCTTAACTGGGTTTTAATTGGCTGGCAGGTAAATCTAAACTCTGTATCCTCCCTTCCCAAGAACACGGAAGTGCTTGGAGTTATTCAGAAAAACAATGTTGGCCCTTGTAACCAATCAGAGAAAGAGAAACAGGAAGTAAAGAGATCAGAGTAAAGGCTTGCTGCCGGCCACCCTCATTCTGTCCTGTACACTCCATCTCGTGTACACATGCAAATGTGTGAGATTATATACATATGAAAAGAATAAGCAAACACCTCTGGAAATCCCTCATCCCTCCCTTGTCCTTCATGACCTCATCCTCTCCCGGTCCTCACAGGTGAGTGCCCAAGCCTGCTGTCACCATGACGACCATTCACCACCAGCAGATGCTCCGGGAGCACATACCCATGAAGGAACACGTGTCCATGGAGTTCTCCACCTCCACCACCCTCTTGCACACCTTCTCCCAGACAACCAGGCCCATGGGAGGCAAGTGAAGTGTGGGGGTGGGCCAAGTGTCAGGAAGGGGCAACCTTTCTTCCTCCACACTCACCTTTGCAAGGACTCCGTCTGTATCATTAGTGTGGGGCCTTTGAGAGCCCATAGCAACCCCCCTCTCAACCTGTCCTTCCAAGCTCTGATTGTTCATCCACAGATCGGAGCTCCAGGAAGACTGATTAGGAATAAATCAGTCGCATGGATATGTATGATAGATTGATAAACTCTTAATTGCTTTAGGAAATCAGACCCAGAGGCAAATGGACTCTGTCTCCTGGGGTAGAATTTCAGGCCTGGGAGAAGGTAGGATCCTTATCTACATATGAGTAATGCTGACCCTGTTCCATTTAAGAAATGGGAGACTTGGCTACCGGTAGAGGCAGGATGAACACATAAACAAGTGACTTAAGCTCCCAGGCTCTTAGCCCTTGGGGGCCAGACTTGGGGGAGGGCAGATCCGAGGGAAAGCTGGAAAAGGATCTCAGGAGCAAAGCAGACTGTTTAAGTCATGTCTCTAGTGGAAAGTTATTAAAAGATGGCCAGGGTCCAGGATACTGAATATCCATCCTCAAAGTCATTGCCTCTCCCTCCAAGTCCCAGAAGGACACAGTCACTCAGAGTCTGCTGTGTACAAGGTCAAGGCCAGGCAAACACTTTACACCAACTACCCCTGGCCAGTGAAGCGGGTCAAGTGGAGCAGCCAGGATTCAAGGCCGGTGCTGTAGACCAAAAGCTGAACACACACACGGTTCATAGCAGTGATTCTCGGCCCAACCACGCCTTAGCATCACCTTAGTGGAGGGGTAAGGGTATGAGCAGAAAAATGGTGATACCTGAGTCCAATGCCAGGCCATTAAATCAGGTGTTCTTGAAAGCTCTCTGGGGATGCTTTCAGCCACAGCTGAAAACCACTGACCAGCTGAGTCCAGGACGGAAGACAACTGTGCAGAAAAGATTGGGGTAACCTGGAGAGGGCATGTTGTGTAAAGGGGAGCCTCAGTGCACCTCTGCTGACTGCTGCTGTACGGGAATCCGAGCCAAGGTTCAGAATACGGCAACCTGAACTTTTATGTGAAACCTTTCGATTTTCAGATGTAAGCCTACTTTTTTGTGTAATTTTTTGGAGGTCAAGTGAAAGACATGCCTACAAGCTGCCTGTTTAAGTGACACTAAGTCACTATTTGGAAGCAGGCTATGAGGGTTTCTTAGCACATTTGTTCTTTTCATCTCTGTCCCTCTGATTAGTGGGGACGATAAAAGCACCTGCTTCACTGGGATACTGTGAGGTTAGATAAAACCATCCCTAACCCAGGCCTGGCACCATTTCGGACACAGGGAAAGGACTCCCTGCTGTTCATTGGTAACTCACCAACCAAGATGTTGTGTACTTTATACTTCATAGCCGGTTCTTATTTTCCCACTACAAAATTATACGACCACACTGAAATGCTCTGGGGGCTGGAGGTAAAGCTCAGCTGCAGCGAACATGCTTAGCCCTGTGTTTGATCCCCAACACCAAAAAAAAAAAAAAAAAAGTGAATATGCCCTTTCAGATAAGCATGTTCTCATATGGAATCCTGCTGAAATGTGTCTTTTTCTCACTCAAGAATCACCAAACCTGGCCAGGGATGCTGGCCCATGCCTGTAATGCCAGCTTCTCAGAAGGCTGAGACAGGAGGATTGACTGCAAATTCGAGACCAAACTGGGCAACTTAATGAGATGTTGTTTCAAAATTTAAAATTAAAAATAAAATCAGGGAATATAGCTCAGAGGTAGAGAACTTGTAGGAAATTCTGGGTTCAATTCCCAGTTCTGAAAAAAAATTTTTTTTGTTTAATAAATCACTATTCCAGACGCAATAAAATGCTAAACCACAGAGTTGCAGCAGAGAGGGAATTTAGAACAGAGTTCAGCTAAGCTACAGCCCTCCCAGGACGAAGCAGGCCTGGGTTATCTTACTACTACCAGGGGACCAGGATTTTCAGGACAGAAGCCCAGGAAACTAGACAATCCCAAGCAGGAAGTCTCCCTTTTAAGAGAAAAAGCTCAGACACCCCTGAGGGGTGTTGAGGAGTTGGCGGCCCCTGGTGGCGGAAATCTGACACAACACAGCGAGCAGGGAGCGGATCTTCAACGGTCTTGGTTCCCTTGCTCCCCCAGGCTGTCACTCAAAGATGAGTCCTCCAATTCTGGGCCGCGCTCCCACCAAGGCCGTGTCTGACCTCTCACTTGCGCACAAGGACAGACAAAGACGCGTCAAGGAAGTCCTCGAGCTCTGTCCAGTTCTTTAGCCTGGTGACCCAGAGTTCCAGCATCCCCGAGGGCGACAGCCTCCCTGAGTTCATGGAGAAACCTTACCCGGTCGCCTCCCCGGAGGGTGTGTCGCTCCCCGTGTCGCCGCCGGCTCCCTAACCCCCACCCCAATACAGAGACCCTGGCCAAGCCAAGCTGAGGGCTGCTCCCCGCCTGAGCTGGGCCCAGATTCCCGGGAGGAGGCAGCACCCAGCCTGGAGACTGAGGTGCAAATGCGGCCCGTGCCCCCGCAGGGCATTCAGTCCCGTTCCCAGTCGGGGTGCAAGGGAACCCCAACCCCAGCGTCTCGTGGAAGAGGGAGAGCGGCATCCCCATCAAGGAGTCGGGGATACTGCAGGACAGCGTCAACAAGGAGCACGTGCTGAAGGTGCTCCCCACCCCAAGGTCCAGCCAGGCGACCCCAGAACTGGGCGGGAGGAAGACGCTGTCCCTGCCGCAGTCACAGCAGGAACTGCGGGTGCGCAGGGATCCACAGTCACCCCAGAGCACAGCAAAGCGAGGCAGGGGGCTGGCCAAAGGCCAAGGGGAGGCGGAGAAGCTGAGGGACCGAAGCTTGCACAGGCTGGGAAGGGGCGGGGCCCCAGTGCGGGAAGCAGGGTTGAAGTGGGACGGCACGGCGACCTCAGGAGCGACTGGCTGTGCAGCTGGGGTGAGGTCTGGGGTGCTGGGTTCTCCAGAGGAGCCTTGCCAAGGGCCACTCACCCTTGGGTGTCACCAGCTTCTGGGCCACTTCCTGAGAACTCGTGCCCAGCTGCAGCCTCGGACTTCCAGCCAGTTGAGGAACGCGAGGGATGGGTCATCGGGACACTTGGGCCTATGATTATTCCTGCCCCTGTAATTACCCAGGACCTGCCCTGCCTCCCGTTGTGAAGGACAAAATTCTTCTGTCTTCCTCATGTTTCCACAAGCTCAGAGTCGCTCTGAGGGAAGTCGGATCCTTCTCCTTCCGAAGGCCCGGCCCTGGCTCCTCTGCACAGCACAGCTCCCACGAGGTCCCCTGCTGGCCGCCCTTCAACACGCTCTTCCACCCAGCAAGCGCTTTCTGAGGATTCACTTCCAAGAGCCGACTGGTGTGCTGTAAGCGCAGGGCAGACAGGAACCAGGTCAGACTTATTCACCCCTCTTTCCTGTGAGCTCGGCCCAGGGCCTGGTATGGAGGAGTAGAAGGAGTGCGGTAAGAAATACTCACCCTAGTGCCAGAAACCTCAGATAAGAATCTCAACTCGGGAAGTCCTTTTCTTCCAGGAGCGCACAGTCCAGGGGAGAGTCTGGCAGCGAAGCAGTGTTTATACGCCGTGGAGTCAGGGTAGGAACACACACCAGCTACTTACCTGGTACCTTCCAGTCCCAGAGGTTGCCCCACCCTCCACATATAAACCCAGCAGTCAGTCGCTTCCCTCCCCTCAAAAGCCCTCTTTCTCCAGCTCAGGAAATGTCTCTGTGGTTCCTTGCTCACCCCCACTAACGCCTGACTCTGATTTTTGGTCCAGCTGGAACCACTGACCTCAGACGACTCCGATACCTACGAGTGCATTGCAAGCAACAAGCATGCAGGTGCCGTCTATACTGTGTCCTTGTTGGTGACAGAAGGTGGGGCAGCACCTTCTCTTGGCCTTTTCTCTTAGGAATCTGTTCCCTCTGTCTGACTCTTCTGTCCTCACGTCAAGAAAAACTAGATTTCAAGAAGATGTTGAAGGGGCTGGGGATTTAGCTCAGCAGCAAAGTGCCTGCCTGGCAAGCGCAAGGTCCTGAGTTTCATTCTTGGTACCGGAAGAAAAACAAAAACAAAAAAAAAAGATGTTGAAGAAAAGGTGAGACCGGAGTTGCTCTTCCCCGCCCCAAGGTGCTGTCTCCCCAGCTGGAGCCTCTCAAAGGCTTCTCAAGAACCCATGAAGAGCCAAGGGTGGTGGCGCATGCCTGCAATCCCAGCACTAGGGAGGCTGAGGCAGGAGTATCGCTGCGAGTTTGAGACCAGCCTGGACTACAAAGTGAGCTCAAGGCTAGCCTGAGCTGCAAAGCAAGACCCTGTCTCAAAAAGACAAAAAAAAAAGAATCCATGAAGTGGGATGGGGGACATCTCAAGGTTGAGAGAGGCTCCCTCCGTCTTCAGAGGGAGACACTGCGTACAAGCTTGGTCGCCTCCTCCTCCTCCTGCCCCCAGGAAGAAGCAGAAGGTGAGAGATGAGAAAGAGATGCTAGACATTTTGTCCACGGTACCCAAGAAGAACTGAAAAGGTCTGCGTGGAGGACGGCTTCGCTGACTTCCGGGGCTGCTCAAGAAGTTCGAAGGAATGAAGAAAGAAGTGAAAGTGGAGGTCAGTGCCCAGCAGGGGGCAGGGGCCTGCCAGCCCGGGGCTGGGCTTCACCGGAAGTACTGGTGTCTGTCCATGTCCCCCGCCCTGCACGCGCGCGCTGAGCCAACTACGCCGTACGTTCCACGCGAGAGCAGCCCGGGAGCCCAAGCCCCAGTGTATCTCCCTCTCCTCTTCCCCTTTGGCTCATGCGCGTGCATGGACTTTGGAGTCAGGCAGATCTGGGTTTCAACCCCAGTTCTACCGCTTATTGGCGGCATGACTTTGGGCGTCTCCCTGAGTTTCATTTTCCCCAGTGCAAAGTGAAACCTATACTTTCCTTATTCCCTTGTTTCGGTGTTGGTGGAGGCATTCATTCATTTCGCTCAGCTAACTATAGTAGGCATGGACCCTGTAATTATAGAATCTGTGTAATGGGCCCAGTACACAGTGCCTCTTCCTGGAATAGTGGCTCCTTTCCCATCTCCCGTGATACTCCTCCGCTCTAAGCCTTACGTTCAGTGGGGTAGGGGAAAGGGCTTGTTATCTAATGAGCCTGGTCATTTCCCCTCAATCACCTAGGGCGCCTCCTCCAGTTTTGTTTTTTGTTTTGTTTTGGTGTTTTTGGTTTTTTTGGGTTTTTGTTTTTTTGGTTTTTAATTTTTTTGAGACAGGATCTTGCTATACAGTTCACTCTGGCCTTTATACCCCAGGCTGGTCGAGAACTCACAGACTCCTCCTGCCTCAGCCTCCCGAGTGCTGGGATTACAGGCGTGCGCCACCATGCCCAGCTCCTCCAGGATTTTGGACATAACCTGGGCAGAGTCTGATCATCCCTCACTACAGTGATCATCTCGAATGTCTTGATCCTGCCCATCTACTTCCTGAGCATAGCCATTTCCCACCAACCCTAACCACTTGCAACACCAGTGAGGTGGCATCCCTCAGACCAGCGTAACCGAGGGAGACATCGCAGCTGCGCTAATCACCTCCCCATAAACCATCTCTTGTTCTTCCTGGCAACTGCTTTTCAAGCTACTGGCCTTCCCCAACTCCCGCTCCCACCTACTTGCTCCAGCTCTAGCGACCATGTGGAAATGGCCTGACCTTGGTCAGACTACCCGCTCATCACGACTTTGATTGACACCGCACTCCTGACTGCTCCTACAACCATGCCACCAGCGCTTTTCCCGTGAGCCCCTCCTACCCCACACCCTGACCGGGTCCTGGCCCCCCCTTGCCCTCAGTGCGAGGCCACCGTCACTCGCAGCCACGGGAACGCCCGGCACAACCCCAGCCGAGTCGTGCGTAGTGCTGAACGACGAGAAGGTGCAGGTCGTGTGCTGAAGGATGGCAAGGAGGTCCGAGGCAGGGGCCAGAGAAGCGGGTGAAGGAGGCGACCTGCCCACGCCCTAACCCTAAGCTTTGACCCTTAGGTCACGGATTTGCCTGGCGCGCAGATCGTGAAGCAGGGTGCGGGGCACAAGCTCATCCTCCCCAACACGGGCCCAGCACACGAGGGCAAGTACGCGCGCTGGGCCAAGGGCCGGGGGAGGGAAGTCTCGGTGTTCATCACAGGTACGTAGGAGTCCAGGTGGGCAAACCTCAGGGAGGCGTGGCTTGGCCGCAGGCTCGTAGCCACACCCCCATTCCCTCTAGCTCCTCCCCATCCCCCCCCCAACCCCGTGGTTGACTCATCCCCGCAGCCTGGCCGAGCAGATCGTCCTACCGTCCACCCATCCATCCTGGAGGCGCTGGCAGCACACCCTGTGGCTGGGAAGGTGGGCCGTATCATCAAGGTGCCCTTCGGGCAAGGCCGCTGCCCAAAGTGACGTGGTACACGGACAGAATGGAGGTGACGGGGGGGGGGGAACAAGTGTCCACGGAGCGCAAGGACAAGCAGGAGCCGCTCGCCATCTTCTGTGTGTGCGAAGGCAGCGGCCTGGTCCTGCTCAAGCGCAAGAATAACCAGGGCGCGGCCACCGCCACTCCGCCGCTCAGCGTGCTGCGTGAGCGAGGGGCACCTGCTGCCCAGGGCCCAGGGTGGGTGTCGGGCGGGGAGGGGACCCCGAACACAGTTGCAGTGTGGGCTGGGAATGGGATTTCCCGCCAGAAGCTCACTTCTTGAGTAGCCTTGGGCAAGTGAACCTCCAAGCCTCGGTTTCCCGACAGGAACCGGCTGATTCCTCCCTGCCCCCTTATCTATAGCTAGTGACTTTAATGTTCAGAGCCAAGTGCACAGCACGTTCTAACCTCCCAATGTGTCACTGAAGCGCTGTGATTGGCTGGATGCGGAGGACAGCGTGGAGCTGCGGAGGAAGTGAGGTAAAGCAGGCGGGCTTTCAGAGTGGAAGTGTAGTGGGGCTGGAAGTGAGATGAGAGAGGTGTGAAGGCAGGGATAAGGTAAGGGCCGGAGTGAGGGCGGGGACGGGATTGGGATTGGTCTGAACATGCGGATGAGGATGACGTACAAGCAGGCCTTACTGCACTTACATTCGACATCCCAACCACAGGTACCTCACCATCTCCTCTGCCTGCATTTCCAGCAAGTTGTAGGGGTGGGAAGAAGGAAGGTGCTCCGTGCTGTCAATGTCAGGGACACGAGGTGAAGTGCTCCAGGGCTTCCTCAACCCGAAAGGGAAAGAAGCGGTAGACAGATGAGTAATTCTAACATAAGGTAGACTGTGACGCCAGAAAGCGCTGGTGTTCTGAAGCTCGGAAGAGGGAGGACACTTGTCTGGACGGGAACCCGGGGACTACTTAAAGCTGGAGTCCCCAGGAGCTGCAGTCCACCCATTCCTAGGCAGAAAGAAGGTTAGGGGAGCAAGGATCGAGGCCTTTGAGCAAGTCTTGGGATGGACACAGAGAAGAACAGCACGGGACCCCAGAAAGCTCAGAATCCAGCTTGAGTAGCCTTGCCCGGCCAGTCCTCTGGTGAGCGGGAATAAGCCGTTTCTGAGCCTTTGTTCCCACACTACACCGTGAAGCTGTCCCCTGTCCCCTGACCGTCCCAAGCCTCCTCGGGGCGAGTGGAGTTCCTGGAACTCTGCGGTACTTGTGTACACATGAAGTGGAAGGCCCCAAAGGACAACGGCGGGCGGCCTGGGACACATTTCATAGTGGAACGGAGGGCAGCTGGCAAGAAGGCCTGGGTTAGGATAGGCGAGGCGGACAGCAAAGTCACCAACTTCTCCAGCAGCAAGGTGGAAGAGGGGAAGGCCTAGCAGTTTCGTATCCTGTCAGTCAGTTCAAAAGGTGTGAGCTACCCGCCAACAAACACTTTGCAGAAAATCCCATAGGTCAGTGAGATTGCCCAGGACTCAGGGGGCAGCTGGGGATCAGGATGGTAAGGAACACAGGATTTCCCAGGGAATTCCGCACTCATCTAAATGTCCCATGGGACAAAGTGACTGCAGACAAGAAACAGAGCATCGTTCTACTTTTTCACGCTCCATGGATGGGCACAATTCCAGGGCACTACCTCCCCTTCTCTCTCCATCCCAGGAATCATCCTGAAATCTGAAGGAGTAGATGTTACCAGAGTTAACCTTGAAAGGACTCTAATTTTGTTTCCAAAGAAAAACCCTTGACAATACTGTCATTTTAATTAGAATTGCTAAGTAATTACTTGCTACACCCTTCCCCACTGACTTCCATGTCTCAGTGTGTCTAGAAAGCAGAATGGCAGCTGTGGCATGGGGGACACACTGGTGGAAAGTTTGTGTCAGTGACCATCACTTGTGGCTACATGTTAGAATCATCCATTTTAAAGTGCTCATCTTTGGGATGGGGATATAGCTCAGCGGCACAAGTGCCTGCCTGGCAAACGTGAAGCCTGAGTTTAATTCCCGGTACCAAAAAATAAAAAAATAAAATAAAAATGCTAATCTTTGCCCTCCACCCCCAGCTAATTAAATTGGAATGTCTAGGAGTGGGACCCAGATTCCTGACAGGGAGCTGGTAATAGCGAGTTTCCTTTACTCCCCACTGATGTTAATGTGCAACCAGAGTTAAGTTTTTTTGTTTGTTTTTTGACTTTTGGCTCTTTGTCTTTTTGAGACAGGGTCTCACTATACAATTCAGGGTGGTTCAAACACACTTTGTAGCCCTGGCTGAGCTCGAACTCTCAGTGATCCTTCTGCCTCAGCCTCCTGAGTACTGGTATTACAGACATGCACCACCACACTCAGCCAAGAATTATTGATTTAATGGGCTGAGGGGAACTGTGTACATGCTTCCCCTCCTAAGCTCTTCCCTGTGTCCCCACAGAACCCCATGGTCTTGCCTCTCAGCCTCAAGTGCCTGATATGACCAAAGTGATGGTGACCATCACATGGAACACCAGCCCAGGATGGGGGAGCCCCAGAGCTCAGCTACACTGCGGAAAGAAGAAAAGAAGGCAGTAACCTGTGGGTGCTGGTCAACAGGGACCTCATCCAGGGTGAGTTCCTAGGGACAGAGGCCCAGGAGGGACAAAAAGATCTGGCTGAGTAGACTCATTGCTACTCTGAAATAGTCTCTCCCTCAAATCATTTGGGTTGTTGTTTGTTTTATACGCTGGGGACTAAACCCAAGGCCTTTGCACTTAGCCACAGCCATAGCCCTTTTTTTATTTGATTGATTGATTGATTGACTGATTGAATTGCCCTGACTGGGCTCACACTTGTGATCCTCCTGCCTCAGCCTCCCAGAGTGCTAGTACTACAGGCATGTGCCATCATGCCCAGCTCCTCTGGGGCATTTTAACAGCATCCATGATGCCCTCTTCCACAGTGTCTCACTTCTGGGTCTCTCACCATGCAGATGCCCCACCCTCGTGACCCTCTGTCTTCCCACCTACCCAGGCACCAAGTAGACCTCAGACAGTCTCCTGGAGGACACAGAATATGAATTCCGGGGCAGAGCTGTGAATAAAGCAGGCCCTGGACATCCCAGTATGCCATCCAGCTCAGCAGTGGCCAAGGATCCTGTCAGTGAGTATGGGGCCACCAGGTCCCAGCACGTAGCACTATTAGCCCATTCCAAGGAGGGAGCATCGCTTCCCCGGGAAGGTCCGATGGGAGGGAGGGGTCACACAGTCTGCTCGCTGGAAACTGCCAGCCTTGCGGAGGGACACGGTTCACGCCCAAGAGAAAGCCAGTGATTAAAGACATCAGGGATAAAATGCTAATCTTTGCCCTCCAGACAGGATGGGAAGACAGGATGGGAAGTGTTTTTTAATCAAGCTTTGAATGTTAATCAAGCTTTGAGGTAGCAGAAGCACGTTGAGGATTGGATCAGGGGGGATGCTGGGCAGGTCTTGAGCTTAGGAGAGGAGGTGTACTGTGTGTAAATGGGTCTGTGGAGGTGGCTGGGCTAAAGACTGGGGTTGGAATGCAGAGGCTTTGAATGTTTAGGGTATATTATATTTGCAGTGTATTGAGCTTAAGGGTGAAACTGTTGGTTGAGTAAAAGAATTGAATTTGGAGGTTGTCGACTGTGCAAGGTTGGGTACTGAGCACTGAGCTGCGGGAGGGAAAAACAGCGAAAGAGTTCAGGAGTGCAGGGTGCAGAATGATCATGGGGCCGAGTGGGATGGATCTGGGGCCGACCAGATGTCTGCGCTACCCCAGAATCCCCAGGTCTGATGCAGGGCCTGCACGTGTCTGATTCCTCCAACTCGAGCATCTCCCTGGGACAGCAGGAGCTTATAGGAGACCCACTGTCCAGCTGCATCCTTGAGACGCTAGCCAGGAGTGGTCCAAGTGCACAAGGATCCCCATCTCAGGCACCTGCTACACACTGAGAGGCAAAAATACTTCTTCCATATCCGGACCGCGAACAAAGCTGGGGTTAGATGAGCCTGTGGAGCTAGATGAGGGGGTCTGTGCCATGCCTCCAGCAGGTGAGGGCACAGGAAGGGTCGGGGCTCAGGCCCAGCATTCTACATCCATCCAGGCCTTCCTCTTGCATGGTGCTATGATCAAAAATAAGCCATCTGAGCTGGGCAAGAGAACTGCAAGTTCGAGCCTAACCGGAGCAACTTAGCAAGACCCCGGGTCAAAATAAAAAGACTACGGTTGTAGCTCAGTGGGGAAGAACCTGGGTCCAGTCCCCAGTATCATTAATGATAATAAAGAGGAGGAGGAGGAAGAGAGGAAGTCCTCATCATCCAGAGCCTGGCACAGTGGCCTGTGCCTATAGTTCCATCTACTCAGGAGGCTGAGGCAGACAGATTGCTTGAGCTGAGGAGTTTGAGGCCAGCCTAGGGAATATAATGAGCCTCCATCTCAAGAAAAACAAAAAAAGAAAACATAATCCAGGACTAGCGGTATAGCTCAGTGGTTTAGCACTTGCCTAGCATGCACCAGGCCCTGGATTCAATCCTCAATGCTGAAGAAAAAAAAAAATTATCCATATTACGGCCTGGACAGGGGTGGGGGTAATTCTGTAGTGTCCCCAGCTGAAAAAAAGAAAGAAAACCTCTTTATTGCAGACCAAATATTGTGCACTGCATGCCAAGGGGAGTGTGAGGACCTGAGGAGCAAGCAAGGCCGGGACTGCCTTCGGGTCCTTCCACGCCAGTGGCGAGGCGCTGGGGAGGAGACAAACGCTCGTGGTGTGCAGGGCAGCAGCTGTCTGTGCCGCCTTTGTGGGGGCCTGAGCGGAGAGACGCCTGGGATGGGCAGCTGCTGAAAGCTCAGTCTTCTTGAGAAGTCCGTGTCCTCACTTATGTCTGTTCCCTCACACTGTGCCCAAGTCTGACCTCAGTGCCTGGCTGAAGAGTCACACGGGGCTGAAGAGTCCACGGCTCGTGCCGGGACAGCCCCCCGCATCCACACAGCCTGCTCTGTGAGCTGTTCCTGACCCCAGCTCCTCCTGTCCTCCACATAACCAAGATGGCTGCTGTACCCATCACACCTCTGCTTCTGCCCCTTACCAGATCCCTACGCTGGAGCCTGGTGGGAGACTCCTTGGCAATACGTAGAGGGCCTTCCTTCACATACCATCTGGGTGACGATGGTGCCACCTCCTGTCCCCACCCAAGGCTCACCATCACCCAACGTGACCTGGGAGAAAGAAGGCTTCACCACCGAGGGCTGGGAAACCATCACCAAGGGCAGAAACTACTCCCAGTTCCCATCAGCAGCACCAAGCGCTCTGACTCAGGGGTGTATCAACTGGTGCCCCAGAATGACTGGGGAGGCACACAAGGACGACATCCACATGCACATGGCAGGTGGGACGGGGGCAGAGGTATGCCTGCCTCCTCTCAGGGACACAGCTTCCCACCGCTGTGCGTGTTGTGCAGGGTTAGGGAAGCCTCTGTCAGCCTCTGCTGAGTGGGACGGGTATTTCCTTTTTCTCCAAGGCCTGAAACCCTGGAGACTTGGAACCTTAGAGGCACTGAGCAAGTCCTTATTTCAGTCTCTGCAGTCATATCTGGTGAGCTTTGAGCAAACACAGAGTGTGCTCAGGGAGAGCAAAGAACAGGAGTAGGTCACAGACGGGAATAAAGACATTGAAACTCAAAATGACCTCTTAGGACCGGAAGCTTTATAAAAAAATCTCAAAAAGAAAAGAATGAATGTTTATTGAATAGTAACTGCGTATTGAGCCCTTTACCCATGAGTCCTGTGAAAGGAACAGTTATTGTTAGTCTTTATCTTACAAATGAGGAAATGGGTCTCAGAAAAATATAATTTTCCCAAGGTCACAGGGCTCCCAAATGGCAGAGTGACAGTTCAGAAACAGGTTTTTGTGACTCCAGGACAACTGCTGCCTCAGGCTCAGGAAGAGAAGTGCCGCGTGCAGCAGGCATGGCAGGGGTTATAAGTGGAAATAGCATCAGCAAACAGAGGAATTAGGGGCGGGATGGGACAGAGAAGACAGAATTGAAACTAACATAGGCTCTGGGTAAGTTGCGAATACCCAATACCTGGGTCTGACAAATGGGGGCTGGAAAAGCCCTCCTAGTCTGGGAAAATGTAAAAACGTGCAAACCTCTGGACTGAGGAATCCTGGAGTGGATGGGGGCTGGGCCACCAATGGGGTGGGGGATCCCACAGGAAGAGCCCTTAGGAATAAATATTTTAAAAAAAGGAATCAGTATAACGAGGACCCCCATAGCTGCTGGCATCTGAGAATCCATCCCAGATCTTTGTGGTTCCACAAAGCTGGATCTCCAGGGTGCCTTTAGGGTGGCAGGTAGGATGCCTGGGGGCCACTCACCACCACCTGCCCTGCCCCCCATGCAGTGGAGGACCTGACCATGAAGCTAAAGCTCTACCAGAAGAACTGGTGCCAGGCACCACACTCTTGACCCCGCTCAAGCTGCACGCGGTGCTCGGAGGCCAGGACTGCACCACAACCTGTGTCTTCCTTGGGAACCCACGGCCCACGGTGACCCTCAGCATCATAACCAACTCCAAGTTCTGGTACAACTCCCCCAGTGGTGTGTGCACCATCGTCATCCCTGCCGCTCACTGAAGGTCAAGGGCAAGTACAGGGTGCTCGAGAGCTGGGCAACGACAGCAGCAGCTGCTCCCTCGCGGTCTATGGTGAGGGCGCCTCCGGGACGAGGCGAGGGCGGGGGCGGGGGCGGGGTGTCCTTTCTGGGACACCCGAGTAAAACCGCAGTCTCCTGGGCCATTAATCAACTCTCTTGGTTTCACTGGCACCGTTCTTTATTTAACCTGCCATCAGGTGATGCAGATACTCAAGGTTACCATTCTCCCGTGCTCCCAGTCTTTTGTTATATTCCTGGCCCCTGCAGATGTGTTTGTGACCCCTTGATAAACCATGGTTTGCAACCCTTGGTGGGGTTAGACCACCTTTAGAAAAGATACTGTCAGGCATGATGGCGCATGCCTGTGATCCTAGCACTTGGGAGGCTGAGGCAGGAGGATTGCCATGAGTTTGAGGCCAGTCCCGGCTACACAGTGAGTTCAAAACCAGCCTGAACTACAGAGGGAGACCTCTCTCAAAAAAAAAAAAAAAAAAAAAAAAAAAAAAAAAAGCTATCCTTTCCATCAGGCCTAACCCAGACACACCAATCACAAGTTCTCTGGCAGGTTCTGAAAGGAGTCTGGAGGTTTATAAAATTTTGCAAATGTTCAATCAAGATTGAAAACTACTGGTCTAGGATGAGGACAGATGGAAGGCCCAAACAGGGAGGTCTGGAGAACCTCCCTCTCGTATGCATGACTTCTTTCTGCTCATGTACGTGCACAGAGGGGAGAGACAGTTTATTCCTTCCCACCGTCTACCATCTTCACAGCTGCACAGCTAGCGGCATGAACCCAGTAAAGTGGACCTGCTTTGCTGCCTCTTGCCCAGCGCCCCCCAGCTCTCCCTTGAGCCTCGTGGCAAAATCTCAATCAACAAGGCTCCCCGCATGCCCATCCCTCCAGCCTCAGCCTGTCACCCTGTCAGCTCTGTACCCCACTGTTTCAGTCTCCATGGTTATAGACCTCTGTCCATCCGGTTATAGTTGCCTTCCCTTGGACAAAGAACCATATCCTTTTGCTGTCTCTCAAGTGTTCAGCTAAGTGTCTGGCACTGAGATGATAAAGCCTGCAGAGTGGCCGCCAAACTGTGTAACAGAACTAGGCCAGCAAGGGCACTGGGGGAGGTGTCAGCATTCACTGCTTAGCTGGAGATCCCGACTTCACCCTGAGTTGTAAGCCCATGGGCCCAGGGCCTGACACCACTGCTGACCAGCCATGCACCCTTGGCAAATTACTTTCTGAGCCCATTTTCTCACCTCCGGGGGCTGTGAGGTTTGGAGCAGATGGAGCAGGGACGTGCCTGGCACTGCACTCCATAAATGTCAGGTGCTGAATCAGTGGCAACTCTTGACCACATAAACTTAGCCAACCTGGGGTTGAGGGTCCCCAGGCCCAGTCCCAGGGCCTGTGTAGTAACTCAAAGTCCAGCAGTTTGGAATTTACCTCATTAACTAATGAATATTTGCTTTGGGCTCTCAGACAAAAGACAACAAGACAATCAGCATCCATCACAGAGAGCCTGCTGAAGAAATCCAAGCACCTCATGTGAGCTCCAGGAGGCTGCCGTGAGGGGGGCTTTGTGGCCTATCCTCTGCCTGGCCCCAGTGTTGAGGCCGAGTTTGCTCTCTGGTATGCGTCAGTGTAAATATTCTGTGCAGGGAGGGGACAGTAAACTCAATGAGCTCACCCTTCCCGACCAAGCAGGTGGGCAGACTGTGGGAGGGACAGGGCTCCAAACCCACTCACAGCAGAGCAACCAGCCCCGTGCCAGGGCCTGGACTTGGCTTCTCCTCCTCCACAGCCTCCAGGCAGGGGCAACTCTTGCTGACTTCATCCTTCTCCCCATCCTTCTTCCTTGAATTTCTTCACAGCAGGCTGGCCTCTGCTGAGCATTCTGGTGTTTGAAAGGATTAAGATTCTGCCCCGTTCGTGTCCAGGGACCCTGCTATCAGAGCTAGAAGGGACTGGTCATCCAGTTCCCTGAGTGTCAAACATCTTTCACAGTGGAATGCTTCCTGAAGAGAAAAAATTCTTAGCTACAGATTTGAAATAATAGAGGGTTTTGACAGGGTGTGGTGGGGCACGCCTATAATTCCAGCACCCAGGAGGCTGAGGCAGGAGGAGCATGGTGAGTTCCAGGCCAGCCTGGGCTATACATTAAGTTTAAACCCAGCCTAAACTACAAAGTGAAGCCAAGCGTGGTAGTGCACACCTGTAATCCCAGCACTCAGGAGGCTGAGGCAGGAGGATCATTGTGAATTTGAGACCAGCCTGGGCTACAAAGTGAGCTCAAGGCCAGCCTGAACTGCACAGCGACACCCTGTCTCCAAAAGACAAAAAAATAATAATAAACCACATAGTGAGACCTTGTCTCAAAACACCAGAAAAGCTGGGCGTATTGGCACATGCCAAGGCCAGCCTGGGCTACAAAGTTAATTCAAGGCCAGCCTGAACTTACACAGTGAGACCCTGTCTCAAAACACCAAAAATAAATAATAAAGAGCCTCTGAGCCCTCCTCTTCTCCTTATTCCTTTGCTAACCCCTACCGGGACTCTGTAAAAACCCTAGGTTAGAGCTAGGAACATATCTCTGTGGTGGAATGCATGTTTAGTATGTGCAAGGCCCTGGATTTGATCCCCAACCACAAGAAAGGACAAAAGAAGAAAGGGAGGGAAGGAGGGGGGGGAGGGGATAGGGATGGAGAGGGGAAGGGAAGAGGGAGGGAGGGAAAAGAAGAGAAACAAAACAAAGGGAAAAAACCTAGTTTAAAAGCTCATGGATTTAGCCAGGCAGAGTGGTGCACCTGTAATCCCACGACTCGGAAGGCTGAGGCAGGAGGATCACCAGAAGTTCACGGCCAGCCCAGGCTACATAGTGAGCTCAAGGCCAGCCTGAACTGCACAGCAAGACCCTGTCTCAAGAAACAGAGAAGGAAAGAAAGCAGGCCGGCAGGCAGGAGAGAGAGAATGGATTCCTCCAGCCCCCATGGGATGAGTCTCCTCTATTGTATCCCCATAAATGTGCAACAGCTCTACCAATGGCACAGTCACTTCACCACTAACCAAGGTGTCCCTTCCTGTTAGTGCAAATGCCCCCAGAGTGGGGTGACACATTATTCTGTCAGGGCTAGAGTATGAATCAGTCAATCTAATCCCCTTCCTCAGAGTCCAAGTAGAAGGAGATGCTCCCAAGGAAACCCGGATGTTTTGGCACAGAGAGCAGGTGTGGGGAGGAGTGGGGGCCGGGAGGAGGATGACACTGAATAACAAAGGGTCACCAGGACTGCTGAGCCATCCGCACAGACCGGAGTCATCAGTGAGAAAGGTGGACAGACGCAAGTGCCACCCATCCCCCACCTCCTGAACCACATCCTCAGGCACACGTGACCAAGGAAGTGAGACCCATTCCAACCAGCACAGTGTCAGCACAGCCAAGGCATCAGCCTGGCGCCAAGATGCCCTCCCCAAGACTGCGACCCGAGCTCTGAGGACAGCCAGGGCCCCTGGCACCATGCCCCCACCTCCTCTCCAGGACAGGCACGTGCCACACAGCCAGACAAGTGCAGAAGCCAAAGGCCCTTGGGTTTTTTTTTTTATTTCACATGGGCAGTAAAGGACGGATTGTGCCATCCTTGCTCCCCTTGCATTGAATGTGCTTTGGGTTGTAAGACCCCAGAGTGTCATTTGAAGGCCCCTCCTCTTGTTCCCAGTGCAGGAGGGGCAGGGAGGAAAGCACGGAGGATGGGCGTGCAAGGTGAGGGGTCCACACCCCTCAGGAGCTCCCTGAGGCCCTCTCCCTATGAGACATTTACAGACAGCAGGACAGAGACATATGGCAGAGAAACACACAGGCCAGGAGAGAGACCACACACCCACGCATGCACACACGCACGCACACAGCCTGGCCCCTTCCTTTGGCATGGTTCACCCTAGCTCTAGAAACAGGGCCTAAGGGTGGTTGTCTGGGCCTGAACTCGGTTAGCCTGTGAGAGACCCAGGGCCAAGTGAATCCTTGGTACACATAAGTTCTCCAACCAAGGAAGTTCCCTCATGCCACCTGGACAGACACCCCTTCCTTCCCTTTCGCACTCACCACTTAAAGATTGTTCAAGTACTACGGATAGACAAGGGAAAGGAGACTCCACCCTCATCCAATCTTCCCAACTAAGAGCCAGTGAAAAGTCCTTCAAGCCTTAGCCCTGGGTCCTCTCGGCAGAGATTTTTCCCCTTTCCTGCAACAGTATGCAGATCAAAAAGGGTGAGAGTGGATAAGCCCAGGGCTGCCTTGGTCCTAGGCATAAGAGATGCAGTCGGACTCTTCCACCTAGTAGGGAATGGGGTCAAGAAGGTAAGCACCATAATCTTGGGGTGGGCTGGGGGGTCTCACCGTCCTGATGGGGTAGAGGTGGGCCAGGTCTATCTTTGCCGCCAGCAAGGGGCAAGCAGCTGGCTCCCTGAGCTCACAGTGTTGTCCTGGACCACCAGCTTTGCTAGGGAGATCCTTCTGCTAACCCCCTCAAACTCATCAATTCCCACAGGCAGTACCTGCTGCCCCAGGCTGCTCTGCTGCCCCAGGCTTCCCTGTAGCCATCCTGTTTCCGTAGGTTCCCAGGGTCTCGACTCCAACCCCAGGAAGGAGGGCTGCACAGAGGCTGGCCTCTCAGTCAGCCTTTCTCAGTCTATCGTCCGCCACTGGCTCCCGGCTTTCAACAGCAGACAGGGCGATGAGCATCTGGGCAGCGTAGTAGGTGGACATGATGAGTGCCCGAGAGTAGGGCACAGGAAAGCGGAACTTGTTGAGCCCGATGGTCAGGTCTGAGATCATAAAGAGCAGCGCACCACTGCCAGCTGCCAGCTCCGTCCAGCGCCAGGCTGCCCCGACCAGCCGCAGCCCTGCCATAGCTCGCCAGCCCATGAAGCTGATGAGGGCCACATAGACCCCCACCAGGTAGGTGAAGGCACCTGAGAGGCCGGGGTAGAGCAGGGCATAGCACAGGCCGGACAGCACTCCCATCACCAGGCCAGTCCGGAGAGCCAGTGGCCGCATGCCAAAGGCCGAGGCGTAGAGCATATGGGTCACAGCAAACATCAGCATACCTGGGAGTGAAAGGGAACAAGGGACAGTGAAGGTGGGCTTGGGGACTGTGAGTATTTGGGGGTGGGGATAACCCAGCAGCTTTGTGTTAGGAGTCACAAGGGTGGGAAGATCCACAAGGCAAAGATCACCCCCACGCATACACACAGTCTCCTGCACTGATCACCTGCATCTACCAACGGGGGACCACAGTTCCTGGCCCCAGAAAACCTCAAACTCGCTTTTCAAAAGTTCTCTTGTCCAAATCTTTGGCTCCCCCAGGGTTCTCCCCAACGCCAGAATCCCTTGCAGGCAGCTACTATGACCACTGACCATGCACAAAGTAGCCCTGGTCCTGCCAGATGAGGAAGGCATCCCCTACAGCAGAGAAGATGAGTCCCGCAAAGATGCGTGTAGCGCTGGGGTGGGTCTGCAGGAATCCGAGGCCGTGTGCCAGCAGGAAGAGCCACAGGCAGAAGACAGGCAGGCACTTGATGAGGGCACTGACCCAGGATGGGCTAGAGGAGGGCAGCCAGAGCACGAAATACACGCAGGTGGCCTTGAAGAAGGGTACCAGTTTGGGTCCCTCGCTTTTCACCTGGAAGACACAGGACAAGGGCAGCAGTGAGATCTTGGAAGCGCAGAAGCCCATTGTGGGGCTCAGAGCCGCACCCTCCACCCCATCATCTACCTCAGAAACAAGCCTTTACCCTCCACACCACCCCAGACAGGGAGGACACACAGTAACCCAGCCAGACCTCCCTCAACCCTCAGGAAGGAGTAAACAAACCCACTGTCACCCTTAAGCCTGACTCCTTGGCAGGGGAAAGGGCTTTGCTGTCCTGGTTACTCTTATCCACAGGGCTGGGCAGCAAACAGTCCTGAGCGTACCGTCCCCTTCTTCAGCCCAAGGCTTTTCCCTTTCTTGCTCCCTCTCTCTGCCTCCTTGGTGCCCCCTTATTCTGTCTCCCCGCCAGTATCAGCCCCCAGCTCTGTGAGACCACAGAGACTGGCCAGCTCAGGATCCTCAGCAGTGGCCAGGACACCAGCTTAGGGCCCTGGCAACACCAGGTGAGTGCCAGGAAGTGGGATGGGATGGTGGGATGGCAGCCACCCCCAGCCCCACAGGCCCTGTCCCTCGGCCTCCACTCCACCTACCCTGGAGCAACAGGGTCACCATGGACGAGGAGAGTGGCCAGGGATGCTGGGTAGACAGACCCATGGAGCAGGGAGGAAGAAAACTGTCCCTGAAACACCAGAGACCTCGGGGACTGGGGCAAGGGGTGAGGGTGTACGTCTCCTTTCCCAGAAAACAAGACCGACTGGAGGGGCAGGAGAAAGGCAGGAAGGGGTGGGGGAGGGCTTCTTTTCCCAGCTTCTGATCCGGAGCCAGCAGACAGCTTGGGAGGAGACAGGGTGCTGAGAGAGGGAAGTTAGAGCAGCTGACTCGGTCTCAGCCGGATTAGGGGGAGGGTGGCTGAAGAAAGGTTGTACCCAAGGCCACTGCCAGGCACAGTCCAGGCTGGGGGTGGGGACGGCTGCAGAGACTGTGAATCTGGGATCCCCGAGGCGCCTTTCTTTGGGCAGCTGGGGTCTGAGATACTCACACTCGGCCCAAAGTTATTTTTCTCTGCTAAACTGTCTCTCGGCGGGGGCTCTCAAGCACAGGGTTGTGGGGACGCACTCGGATTCCCAGACCGCCGAATACTGATCAGACAGACTGTGGTGGGGTGAAGGGGGGGGCTGTCCTTGCTCCATACGAGGCAAGAGAAGGGAGTAGAGATGACTTTCCTTTCGGGGGAAACCACCACCCGTCAAGGTGGTCAGGGTGGGGGTAAGGCAGAGGCGGAGACAGGAGGCGATGCCAAGGCTTCCACCTCCCAGCCCTCTGAGCATCAATGGTCCCTCTCCCTCCTCTACCCCAGGCCCCTATTTCTAGGAAAAACTGGCAGCAGGCAGGGAGACCACGACGGCCATCGAAAAGCCAGCTCTAGAAAGAGGGTGGGAAGGCCAGACAAAGGCTGGAGTGGAGACGGTCTGAGAAGGAGGCAATGTCAATAATGATCCATCTTCCCCCGGCGCAGGATTAGCGCGGCGCAGACTCGGGGCGTCCCTTCCTGCGCCTTGTTTATAGGCGAGGATAAGGAGGAAAGCAACTCGGCCAGGATTCCCAGGACGTCCCTGCCACCACCACCCGTGCCCCGTCCACGCCTCCCTCTGATCCGCCTCCGTCCCAGGCCGCGACCCCGCCGACCCGCGCCAGACGCACACACATCAACAGAGTCACGCTTCCGAGTCACGTGCTCGGTGTTTGCCTCCCTCCCGCCGGCGCGCGAGGAGGAGCCCGCTCGCTCGCTTACTCACCACAGTGACCGGGGACACCATGGCGGCGGCGGCGAGGGGGACACCCGCCCCGGGCAGTAGAGGCCGGGACGCACCCACCGCCAGGTGAGCAGGCGGACACTTAACAAAGCGGAGCGAGGCAGCACACTCCCTCCAGGGCTCCCGGCTCTTGGAGTTCTGTCTGTGAACTCCACGACGTCATCGCCGACACCGCCAATCAATGGGTGGGAGCTGGGGTGGGCGGAGCCTAGAGGGCGGGGCCAGCCCCGCTCTCCGGGTCTCAGCCCCGCTTCTCCTGGGGCGGGAGGCGGCGCCAGAGGCCCCGCCCCTCCAGGAGGAGGGGCCAGAACATCCCGGGTAGTGACTGTGCGGGCCGGACCCGAGTGAGCGAGGTTTCCTGGGAGACAAATGCATCCTTGCTCGACCCCCGGCAGACACTGTTTCTCCTAAACTCAGGACAGATTCCCTTCGGCCTTCAAGCATGCAATCCTTGCAGACGCAATTGCACAACTTTCACTGTGTACAAACATCCAAATGGACATACAGGGCTGGGGATATAGCTCAGCAGCACAGCGCCTGCCTGGCAATCGCAAGGTCCTGAGTTCGATTCTCAGTACCAAAACAGAACAAATGGACGCACAATGATCAGCAAGCACATAGCCTCAAGAGAAGAGATTCCTGTGTAGATACAAAGAAAGGCCCACAATCCTAAGGAATGTACAAACACGTAGAATCGCAGTTACACTAAATAAGGGTCAGACATTCATCTGTCCTTAGGCACACACTTCTCACAAATCGGAGATGACTGTAACGCACACAAGCAACAGCACACCAGGAAAGACCGACAACAGGCGGACTTTGCATATTCTAAGGACACAGAGCGGTGTGAAGTAACTTTGCTACTACGTGAGTGGATTTCATGTTGATATTACATAAAGTTACACAAATACTAAGGAACTGAGCATGCTCAGAATCATGCAATTACATGGGCGAACTGGCAGGTGTTAAATGGACTAGAATTGGTTCCAGTTCTGCTGCTTCCATGCTCTGCAACTGGGTGAATCACTGACCTTGATTTCCTCATGTGTAAGATTAGGGGATGATCTCTACGGTTCTCCCCACACAGGCGTGTTGTACAGGTTTCAAGTAAGTTCAGCAGGCTTCCTGGAGGTGGAGACTTCAGTTACACCTCCAAGGATGGCAAAGGGGTATGCACTGGGGTCTGTAGTCCAAGCACACTGGCTGTGTTTTGGGCTTTGGGGACCAGAGGGAAGGAGAGACCAGCCCTAATTAGCAGTCAGCAATGGCTAGGGTGGTGACACTAAGGTCTTCTGCTGTACCAAGGCCTGTGCAGTACCAGGGAGGGAAAAATCAGCTACAGTCTCCTGCGAGCTTCTCCTACAGTGGATCTTTTCCTTGTCTTTTGGGCCTTGCCCAGCTTTCCTAAGCCTGTGCTGTTGACCTGACAACCCCTCAGAGGTGGGGCAGCCCTGCCCCAGGGACAGAACTGACAGCCAGAGATTCAGATCCTGATTCAATAAGGGTGAGAGTCAAAGATTTGGGATGAGGGGGGAGCAGTCACCTATAGTAATCCCCTCGCCCCTTAGACACCTCCCCTAAGGAGCTCCATTGGTCAGTGAACACTACCTGCTCTGTTTTCTTTCCATTTAGGGTGTGGAGAAGCCTAGGTCTCCCGAGTTGGGGACGCGAGTGGCTGCACCCAGGGCTTTGTCACACGCATACACACATGTGGGCACACCCACAAGATGTGCTGCCTGAAAAGAATACTGAACTGGGGAAAAATACTGTACTTAGGAGTAGCCCCTCCTTCTCATGACTTGCTAGTTGTATAACCGGGCCTATCACTCCATCTTTAGAGCCTTGGTTTCATCATCAATGAAATGAAGGCATCGTGCCAGGAGATAGGTACAGTGCACATTCCAGTCTTCCAGCTAAAGCCTCTAAAAGGGATAGTTCCAGCTAACACTCAGGGGTAATTCTCAGAAACCAGGCAAGTCAGGGCGTTTTTCATTTCTCTGGACATTCATTTCACTAATTATAAAAATGAAGCCAGGTGTATTGGCACACTCAGGAGGCTGAGGCATGAAGATCACTGCACATTTGAGGCCAGCCTGGGATACATATGAGTTCAAAGCCAACCTGAACTACATGCAAGATGCTGTCTCAAAAAAAAAACAAAAACAAACAAACAGGAAGATATGCTTGGGGTGGGGGTGTGGTTCAGTGGTTACAGTACTTGCTAATATGCCTGGGTTCAATTTCCAGCTTGGAAAAAAAAAGGGAGCAGGGGGAGAGCTACATCAGTGGTTCCCCACAAGTGGGGACTATAAGTTACTTGGAAAATTTTTTAAACTATAATTGGCTGGCTGGGGATTTAGCTTAGCGGCACAGCGCCTGCCTGGCAAGCTCAAGGTCAGGAGTTCGATTCCTAGTACAGGAAAAAAAAACAAGAAGGGAAAAACAATAATTGGCTTTGTCCCACCCTAGTGCTAATAATTCACAGATTTTAATAAGCCTCTACACACAGAAGCTTAAATACTGCATGCAAAACATGAGATCTAGAACTGTCATCCTCGGGTTCCGAATCCGTACTGAATTACCCAGTACACGATGAATCGTATACATAGCCTCTCCTTTCCATGCCAGTCATTCTTTGTTTGCCCCACCACCACCCAGATCCGTACTTTGTCATTCTCCATTCTGCCCAGGACCCCGGGCTCTAAGATCTGTAGCATCGGGGCTCCCCAAGCCCCTGACTTGTAGCTGGGTTTGCTCCTGAGAGTCAGAGGTCGATCTGAGGATGGAAGGGCAGCGTGGGTGAGCTCCACCAGGCCACGTTGAGACTCTTGCAGTTCTAGAGGCTGTGCTTCCCCGCAGCCAGCTCTAGACTCACTCCTTACTCTCTCAGGCCTAGGATGGCAGCGATCTTCACCCAAGACTGGTTTCTTTAACCCTGCCCACATCTCTGCAAGTGGTCACTGAATTCTTTTCAGTTAAATTCTTGAGATGCCAGCACCCTGACTGATACAGGCACCAATAAATAAGAGACACTGGCCACCCTAAAGAACTTATCCCAATTTCACTCATGTGGGTAAGATTTTTGTCTGTTGAAAAAGTAAATTTTTATTTACTACTCAGTGTTTTTACTTTGGATTGCACGTTGCAGGACACAGAGAGCGGGGTAGCTGCCTGCAAAGTGGCATTCCTTCCTTTCTGTACCCAAAACAATCTGTTAGTGTGGTCCTTTTCACACCGCTTTGTACTCTTCGTCTCCTCTCTAAAACGGAACTCACCTGTTCATTCACCCAGCGAATGTTTCCTGTGCACCTCATATGTGCCAACCACTGTGTCAGGAGCTGGAGTGTAAAATGTTGACTAAAACATGGGCTCCCTCCTCACAGAGCCTGCGGTTCACTGCAGGCAGTGAGTAAACCGACGCGCAGCGTGGCAACTGAAATAGTTAAGGGATGAAGGTATGCCGTAGGTGACATCAAAAGGACATCAGAATCACACCTGACACAGGTGAAGAAGCTGGGGCTAAATCTACAAGGGTGAGTCATCTCCATTGATCAGACATCCACAGATGTAATATCCTAGACCGAGGGAAGCGTCTATATGCATAAAAGCACAAGAGACCCTGAATTCAGTGCAGTCGCTGTAGTACTGGGGTGAGCTGAGGCGCAGACATGGAGAAGCCGGAGAAGTGAACGTGAGCCGGGTGCGGAAGGGTCTTGAATGTCCTACTCAAGGAGTTTGGACTTCACCCACTAGACGACAGTAAGCCAACTGTCTTCTGTTCTCTAACTTCTCTGTTTGGGCCTGGCTTATGCACAGCAGACACATGGAAAATACATAGAAATGTGACCAAACATTGTTCTGGACTTGCCATGCTTCTTCCTGGGAGGCTTCTCACCCAGTGTCCTCCTCTGTCTCTGACCCCAGTGGTTTTGCCACGTGACACCTTCTCTCTCAGTTTGCCCTACTTGGAGTTGTAATCAGCTCTGAATTGTTTCCCTTATGCCTGACCTGCTGCTGGATCTCAGCTAACTTCCTGGTGTCCGTTCCAGATGCCCAGAGAGCTCCTAAGCAGCTCGTACTCCCTTGCCCTCCTGTACAGCTGGGGAAGAGACCGCAAATGTTGATGAAGGTGTGAGGGGTCAGGTGACAGGCAGCGGTGGTGGGGAGTGATGTTGTTCAAAGTGAGCTGAACGTGCACCTGCGAGTGGGAGGCCTTTGAGAGCTGTAGATACAGATCTAGAGCTCAGGCTCAGAAGTGAAGACTGGGGTGTAGATTGGGAAGTCACAGCTACACTGAAAGCTTTGTGGATGTGATTAACCAGGGAGGAATCTAAAGGGAAGGGCCAGGCAAATGCTTGGGGGCAATTACATGTAAAGGAATGACAGAAAAACAAGGAGAGGGACAAACACACCGGTTGAAAGATATGTATCTGATGCACCAGATATACCCAGATCCAAATGCACTCAAAGTGAAAGAGACTCACACAGAGAAATGTATATTCTGTGCATTCTGTGATTTGGTTCTCTCCTTCCAGAATGGGTGGTAGATAGTGGTTTTGCTTCCCCTTTGTGGTGGGTCAGAAGCTTTGCAGACAGATTCACCCAGCACCTTTCCTACCTATGCGCTGTAAGGACCATGGGTGAGGTTCTACACCCCAAACCCTAGCCAGGGGTATTTCTAGGGCTCCCTCCCACCCTTTTACTTCCAGAATCAACCTAAGAATACCAGATGCTGGTGTCATCCCTCCTCTGAAGTCATCCATCCCAGAATGCCTCTGTCTTGCTGGAGCCCACCTGAGTCAAGAAAGTGAGCCCTGAAGTAGCCAGTGTGATTCACGAGGCAGGGTCTGCTCCTGAAGGCGGTTAAGAAAAGAGCAAAGAAGAAAAGAAAAGAGCAAAGATTGCCTTTATCAGAACTCATTTTGGAAGGGTGTGATGGCTCACGCCTGTAATCCCAGCATTCAGGAGGCTGAGGCAGAAGATTACTTCAAGTCTGAGGCCAACCTGAACTACAAAGTGAGTTCAAGGCCACCCTGAACTGCATAGTGAAACCCTGTCTCAAAAAGACAAAAAACAAAGCAAAACAGAACAGAACTCATCTCTTCAGAACCCAGAGAGTTAAATCTTGGGGTAATTTGTGGAGCAGTGTCCATAATGATGTTCTGGGC